TTAACTTTTTATTAGTTTTGCAAACTAGTAGATTTTTATACTAAAACATGCGCAGAAAAATGTAGTAAGAACAATTTAATAAAATTAAGCTAGTGTCACAATGAAATACAGTATGGGTTTTTTTTTATACAATTTAGAATGGCAAACAAGCTGACGGCCCACCTGATGGAAAGTGGTAACCGTCGCCTATAGACATGAACAGTACCGTGGACGTAACAGAGTATACTGTTTCGCCCATGATACCCCCCCATGCATTGCCATTCCTGAGGACTCAGGTGTTATACTTCCAAATGTGTTCAAGCATTTAGAAGTTATATTCGTCATCATCATCATCATTTCAGCTATTACTCCTCCCCTGTAAACATAGGCCTCCCCCATACACTGCCATAAGGAACAATCCTAAGCCACCTGCAACCACTGACTCCCTGCAATGCATTTGAGGTCGTCACTCCATCCAGTAACAATCGTCCTGCACTGCGTTTGCCTGTATGGCGTCGCCACTCAAGAACCTTTCTCATTGGTTAACGGTTCATCGAGCTATGTAATCAAACAATTGCCACTTCAGCGGATACCCGAGGGATATTCACCAGAGGGAGACTTTGTACAAAAGTCGATTGCTTGGGTACCTCTGTCCCATTCGTGTTTCAACCGTAAAGCAATTGTGTTTGCATGGCTGTGTTTCGGTTTGATGGGTGGGATATGGCGTGAATTTATAGGGTACAGGTTCCTGAGTCCTCAGGAATGGCAACGCATGGGGGATATCATGGGCGAAACAGTATACTCTGTTATGTCCACGGTACTGCTCATGTCTATAGGCGACGGTTACCACTTTCCATCAGGTGGGCCGTTAGCTTGTTTGCCATTCTAAGTCGTATAAAAAAAAATTATCTATAATAAAAAAAAATCCGACTTCATATTTGAACGATAAAACTAAAATAGGTACAGAGCACTAAAAAATCAGAGTAAGCACACTGAACACATATTACAATAAAAACTCGCATCTCGAGCAAACGCGGCCAAATAAAATTATAACAGCGCCGGATAGCGCGAGCGGCCGCGTACCACGTTACTCGTTTAAAAACTACAATAGCGATAAATAAACTTTGCCTCTGAAACAAAAGAAGTTTCAGAGGCTTTTGTACAAAAGAAGTTTACTTTACACCCTATGTGTTCTCTGTTTCAATCATAAGACCGTTCGCTGATATCTAATAGAAGTATAAATTTAAAAGCAATTAATTAACTGAATGTTTTTATTTATTACTAATTTCATTTAGAGTGCATTTTGTGAAAATTTCAACAAAACTTGATTACCAGAGGGAGACTTTGTATAAAAGTCGATTGCTTGGGTACCTCTGTCCCATTCGTGTTTCAACCGTGAAGCAGTTGTGTTTGCATGGCTGTGTTTCGGTTTGAAGGGTGGGATATGGCGTGAATTTACTGGGTACAGAGGAATAACACCTGAGTCCTCAGGAATGGTAACGCATGGGGGTATCATGGGCGAAACAGTATACTCTGTTATGTCCATGGTACTGCTCATGTCTATAGGCGACGGTTACCACTTTCCATCAGGTGGGCCGTCAGCTTGTTTGTCATTCTAAGTTGTATAAAAAAAAAGAAAAATAAAACCTTATCATTAAGGTCTATTGATACCAACTTCAACTTATGAATTTCAAATATAAAATAGGATAATAGTCACCGAAACCTAATTTTGTATTTATATTTTTTTGTTAATGGCCGTGTGGTCCCGGCATAGAATAGGCCACCCCTTCATTTGCAGTGAGTGTCGTAAGAGACGACTAAAGAAGGGCGAGGGATGGGCAGCAACGTCCCTCTTAAAATATCTCCAAAACCTAACTGCAGTTTTCAAACCCCCTGTCAAACGTGGTAACTACTGGCAAAACTCCCGTTATGGGGAAGGCTTATGTCCAACAGTGGGCAGTTAACAGCTTAAATAATAATATCAAAAGACATTGCGCTTAATATATCGCAGAACATAGATAGTTTTTTTTTTTCTAATAACATGAATCTGGAGGATCTGAGTTCTAATGATAACATGTTTACGAAATAAAATTTTACAACTTCTATAATCTAATATGTACGTCACGGGGGAAAGGGATTGTTAGTAATGGAGTTTGACAGCCCCATTGCTAGCAATATGCCTTATTAGGTCGACCTCCACGTGGTTCCCCCTGGAAACCATCGTGAACAATTCTTGTTGAATTCGTCACGATGGGCTAACTGACCTACTTCATCTCCTCACCTATAATCCTCACTGGTGCCCCGCCGGTGTATACCGATAGCGCGGATGGGGTTACCATTCCATTATCATCCATTAAAAAAAATATGTACGTCACAGCTTCAAACTTCAGATTGAATATCATAGCATTTTTATTAATCTTATAAATATTATCATGATGTTCGTTTACATTAATCTCCGAAATCGCTCAAGCGATCCTAATAAAATTTTGTAAATGCCTCGACTTAACGAGATAGGATCATTTTTATCCCAGCACGTGGCGCTGCCATCAAGTTTTTAGCTCTATGTATTAATAAAATGAATTATATCAAAACATATAGAAAAATACAAGTCATTCCATGTAGTTTATAAAATAGATTTATTTTCTTAATATAGTGTAAAAAGTTCGTTTCAATGAGTGCATTGGTAAGGGGAGGTGCTAGGGGAGCAACTTCACGCATTGCCTACTCTATGTCTGTGTGTACAGCACAGAGTAATGACATGATACAAACTTGCTTAAATAACCAATTGTATTGAATATACAATTGTATATACAAAAGTTGACAGTAGTTTAAAGAAAATATTTATCAACCATAAAATCAGTTTAATAAAAAATAATAAAACAGACCTATAGCAGTCACAAGCTATACTTAAAACAAAATACTTTGATGTTTATATATTTGCACTACAAGACTATTTTCATAAATCATCAACAATAAAACTTGCCATAGACAATCATGAAAAAAAAGAAATATCCTATTTTAAATCTATTTTTTTATTTTATAATTTTGATAGTGTATAAAATATTTTATCTGTGTCATTTGATATAATTAACGAAGGATATTAAATCCTAGCCACTATGGATATTCATTGCTAAACTTATTAAAATGGTAACACTTTTTAACTTTCTAACCTTAAATTATTGGAATATTTGAGAGTACAATTCAGAACACCTATAAAAAACCTAATTAATCTTATGTTGTAAGGAACCAGCCAAATGATATTTGACTGAGCGTATAATCCACAATACATGGACCAAAATGAAAATGTATGTCCCAAACTGGCCCAATCGAGAATCGAACCCAGAAACAAGATTACGCAAAACAACGTGCCACGTGAAACAGGGAATCAACAGTAAAAAATAGTATAAAGCAGTTTATTACTGTTATTGCATATGTAAAATATGCATAAATAATAACTACAAATAAACCCACAAAAACAAAATCAATACACTATGGTTAACAAAGAATCCACGAGCAAAAGTTAACCATACCATGAATATAAATTGTCTAGTTTCTAGACAAAATTCAACTTTCTGCGTGGAACCGAATTAGCATACTTCATCAAGATCGGTATCGATCGAATCTCGAACCAAAATTACACCCACTTTGTAACAAGAATAATCGAATATTCGTCTAGATAATCTAATAAAAGGTTTGAATGAATTGCGAATTAAAATCGATTATTTATTTAATAAATTTCTGTACTTTGAATACTCTGTATTATGTGAGATCTGGTTGCTAGGCGACAACCGATCGTTCATGACGCGGCCTTATGTACCGGTTTCGTTTCGTTTCATTCTTTATTTGAAACTTAAATTGACGTATGTATGTAATTATTGACTGGAAAAAACACTTGTTTGGTTAAAAATTGTTCTAAATTTAAAATTGCCGCTAGAGGATATAAAACTCTACAATTGTCAAGAGCCTGTAAAATATAAATTTTAGAGAATGCTCTCTTAACTTTAACCATAAACCTTTCGGCATTAAACCATCGCTATAAGATCTAAGATGGAGATAATATTAAAAATCTATACTAGTCGTCCGCCTCGGCTTTTTTTTTTTAAATACACCCTTTAAGGGGGGAAAGGTGTTGTTAGTAATGGAGACTAAAAATACCATTGCTAGCAATATACCTAACCAGGTCGACCTCCACGCGGTTCCCCCTGGAAACTATCATGGTTAATTCCTGATGAATTCATTATGATAGTCTTACTGGCCTGTTTTCATTCTCATTTATCACCCTTCACTGGTGCCCCGCCAGCGTATCCCGTTAGCGCAGGCGGGGTTACCATACATTTTCACCCATAAAAAAATTCACCTTTGATAATAAACCTTTTTGCAGGTGGTTTTTTTTTTAAAACCGGCCAAGTAAATTTTGAGTTAAACTAACAAAAAATTAAGCCTTTATAACTTATAATATTACTAGCGATGTTACTCACTGATTTTTAGAATCGAATGAATAGTTTTTGTGTTTATCTATTACATCAAATGTTTTCTCTTTATTTTTTTTTTATGCAACTTAGAATGACAAACAAGCTGATAGCCCACATGATGGAAATTGGTAACCGTCGCCTATAGACACGAGCAATAGCATGGACATAACAGAGTATACTGTTTCGCCCATGATACTTCCCATGCGTTGCCATTCCTGAGGACTCAGGTGTTATTCCTCTGTACCCTGTAAATTCACTGCCATATCCCACCCTTCAAACCGAAAGAGAGCCATGGATAATCATTTAATTGTTTGTGTGAAAATTTTGACAGATTATTTCGACGTTACCATAATTTGATAAACGTAATTTCGTAAAGTTAATTTTTTGTCTATGTCTATGTTTAAAATAATTAAAAATTCTACGCCCTTGTCCAAACAGCAGAATTAATTAGCAATTAAAAAAAGTAAACGAAACTTTAATTGGGTTTTGTCTCGATTTCACGGCCAGTTATCGACGCCAAACAATCATGTATGTAGATTTTTCACGGAATCAACCATTGTGGTATATAGGGACGCACTGGTTCCAGCAATCGTAGTCTACAAAATGAAAGGTTTAGTTATATTCTGTCTCTTTCTAGCTGTTGTCGCGGCTTTGCCGTCGGTAAGAATTTTGTTTTTTTTTTTATCCTATAAGATGTGTACATACGTGGACATATTCTTAATGATTTATAAAAATAAGTTTTTTATGGTTTATTTCGATAATGACCTTATAATAATTTTCTGATGATTGAAGCCGCCGTTTTTTCTTTTTTATGCATTAGAATATTTTATTAGAATTGTTGCAGTCATAACTCTTAACCAGTCAAAAGAAATATTAAGCAAATATAAGCATCATAGCAAATCCAATCCAGCCATCTGGACGAGTGGCAGTCCATCGGCCATTTTTCAAGGCACTTTCTTCCATCCACATTTTAGTATCAACTTCTAACAGGTGTATTTCCGAATCGATACTATTTTTTTTTATACAACTTAGAATGGCAAACAAGCTGACGGCCCACCTGAAGGAGAATGGTAACCGTCGCCTATAGACATGAGCAGTACCATGGACATAACAGAGTATACTGTTTCGCCCATGATACTTCCCATGCGTTGCCATTCCTGAGGACTCAGGTGTCATTCCTCTGTACCCAGTAAATTCACGCTATATCCCACCCTTCAAATCGAAACACAGCCATGCAAACACAACTGCTTCACGGTGGAAACACGAGTGGGCCGGAAGTACCCAAGCAATGGACTTTTGTACAAAGTCTCTCTCTGGTTTATTATTTATTATGTATTATTATTATGTATTATTTAAATTTGTTGCAGCCAGATCAGCCACAGCCATTTGATGACGATGACCATCCGGTAACAAGTGTTTTATACATTTTCTAACAATTTTAAATTAAAAAAAATAAGGTTTTCAATTCGGTTATATTTTTTCATATTGGTTGCCTCATAACTCTGTTAGTTTTTTTTTTAATGAATGATAATGGAATGGTAACCCCGCCTGCGCTATCGGCATACACTAGCGGGGCACCAGTGAGGATTGATAGGTGAAGATGCAGCAAGTTAGTTAGGACACCGTGACGAATCTAACAATAAATCAATCACGATGGTCTCCAGAGGGAACCACGATGAGGTCGACCTGACAGGGTATATTGATAGCAATGGAGCTACTAATCTCCATTACTAACAATCCTTTCTCCCCCCTAACTCCGTCAGTTGTAAACCTATTTCGAATATCCTTTTTTTTATCTGAAATGGTATACTTACAAATTAGTCGAATTTTTAACAAAATCGACACAGTAATTTAATTTTTAAATCAAAATAACTGATTTTGTCACAGTTGAAGTAAAATTTTTTGTGGGTCAAAATCTTATTTATAGTTGGCAATAAATAATGCCTTGCTAGTCTTAGCAACATGTCTTTTTCGAAGTCGGTCATTTCAATAATACAGATAAAACTATAGACGAATACAAACCGTCTTTATATCTTACTTATACGTACCAAAGGGAGACTTTGTACAAAAGTCGACTGCTTGGGTACCTCTGTCCCATTCATGTTTCAACCGTGAAGCAGTTGTGTTTGCACGGCTGTGTTTCGGTTTGAAGGGTGGGATATGGCGTGAATTTACAGGGTACAGAGGAATAACACCTGAGTCCTCAGGAATGGCAACGCATGGGGGGTATCATGGGCGAAACAGTATACTCTGTTATGTCCATGGTACTGCTCATGTCTATAGGCGACGGTTACCACTTTCCATCAGGTCAGCTTGTTTGCCATTCTTAGTTGTATAAAAAAAAAAACTTATTTCTTTTTTATAAAATTACCTACTCATATTACAACACTACTTTATCCGCCCCGGCTTCTCACGGGTTTTTAAGATACAAAGATAAATTAGTTATTATTATTATATGAAGTAAAATATGTAAAAGACGTATGTCGACCAAATAGGCGACGTGCTGAAGAAGGACCAAATTAAAAGTACCCGTAACCGGCGAGCGTGTATGAAAAGATTGATGAATGTGGAGGAAGCGAAAGAGGTTTGTTTGAATCGAAGCATTTGGCGTTCCATTGTTTCTGCCTACCCTAATGGGAGACAGGCGTGACAGATATGTATGTAAAATAGTCGTTATTGTCATTTTCGTAGGGATCTCTAGCTTTTTTCTAAATAATATATAGCCTATGTTTCTCACTGATATTTTAGCTTTTTATAATCTATTTTTATAATTTAACAATCCAGGGTTGGCACATAAAACTATTTCTAGTGAAAATATTGATTGACAGTTTTTTTTTTTGTTCTAGCAATATCAAAATCGTAGATACATGCAAAGTCTTAGTATAAAAGTGAGTATAATATCTATATATAGCATTAGTATATATATATATATATATATATATATATATATATATATATATATATATATATATATATATATATATATATATATATATATATAACTCTCATGTCACTGTGTTTGTGGTTGCACTCCTTAGAAACTGCTCGACCGATTTTTATTGTATTTTTTTCATGGCTAAGAAGCGAATAAAAGAACTGATAAAGGGTAACCATGTATAGTGAAGGCCTATGTCCAGCAGTGGACAATTATGGGCTGATATAATAAATATAAAAGTTATTTATCTAAAATTATTTTAAAAAGAATGAATGAAATCTTAAAAAGAAATATACTTAATATTTCTTTTTTCTATTTTGCAGTTTGCAGATGACAAAGATGCTGACGAAGTAAGATAATAACAGTTACTTTTATATACATTAACTACTAATTAAGCGAGTATATAATTTTAAAAACTTGGGAATTTTTTTTTTTACTGTAGAACTTAAAAAAGATATGGATATAGAGAGGGAACGTAGGGAATTAGCGATTCCAAGTAATATGGTGGCCCGTAGATTCGCCCGATGTACGTACCAAGTCTTCAAGTAAGTCGGAGTTAGTCAAATGACATTATTCAAAGTATATTTGTTTCGATCCGAAACATATTTTTATTTCCTTTACATTATTATTAAAAAAAAAACTATTCAAAATTCAAATTCAAAATTCAAAAATCATTTATTCATGTAGGACATTTTAGCCGCTTATGAACGTCAAATTTTTATTAAAACTTTACAGTAAAAAAGTATAATAAAAATGGCTCCGTAAGGAAGGAACAGGATTAATACGTGGTTTTATTTTATACAATTTCCCGAAATAATATTGTCCACGTAATAACCTGCAAAGACAAAATTATCTTTCTTCTCGGACTTTTTTTTTATGGGTGAAAATGGTATAGTAACCCCGCCTACGCTAACGGGATACGCTGGCGGAGCACCAGTGAAAAGTTATAGATGAGAATGAAAACAGGTCAGTTAGCGCATCATGATGAATTCATCAGGAATTAACCATAATAGTTTCCAGGGAGAACCGCGAGGAGGTCGACCTGGTTGGGTATATTGCTAGCAATAGGATTCTCAATCTCCATTACTAACAATCCCTTTCCCCCCTTCTTCTCGGACTATCCATATTGACACGGACGGTCTACGATTCAGGTATGCTGAAAAATCGCTGGATGCTCTACGTGTCCTGTACTGTCCTGTTTTAAGAATGATGTTGGGACTCCTCCACTTTTGTAGCGCCTCAGAAATGTTCTCTTAAATACGTGTTTTCATGCCATCGTTCTTAATAAAGTTATGTTCCTAGTGAAATGAATGCGGGAGAGTGACGACACCATCTTTACACTGATAGTTGAAGATGTCAATGCTGCTGTGATAGGGCATCTCGTCAGGACGATGACTTAAACATAAAATATTACATGATTCGTTGCCGTCCTGACCGGATGCACCTTAAGTATATGATCTACTAAATTATAACCATATTTATTAACATAATTTTAAGTCTTAAATTTTAAATGATTGATTAATTGATTGGATGGATAATTGATTGATTGGTTTTTAATTTTCAAAGTACTCAAAAACCTTTCACTTAGCTCCATAAGTGCCAAGACAAATTTTTTCATTACATGGTCACCATCCAACTTCTAACCCTTACTACTGGGGGGAAAAGGATTGTTAGTAATGACTGAGAATCCCATTGCTAGCAATATACCCAACGAAGTCGACCTCCTCGCGGTTTTTCCTGGAAACTATCATGGTTAATTCCTGATGAATTCATCATGATGGGCTAACTGGCCTGTTTTCATTCTCATCTATCACTCTTCACTGGTGCTCCGCCAGTGTATCCCGTTAGCGCAGGCGGGGTTACCATACCATTTTCACCCATCAAAAAAAACCCTTACTACTCATTCGACATTGCTTAACTTCACTAATCGGTATCTTTTAGTGATAATTAAAATAGGACTATCGTGACAAATTCCACTAGAATTAACCACGATGGTTTCCAGGGGAAACCGCGTGCAGATCGACCTACTAGGGTGTATTGCTAGTAACGGGGAAATTAGACCCCATTACTAACAATCCCTTTTCCCCTAGTTATGGGTGTTGCTGGCGGCTTGGCCAACCGGATTTAAAAATATTTATGTTTTTTTTTTTTGTTATACCATTGAGGTGGCAAACAAGCATACGGCCCTCCTGATGGTAAGTGGTTACCGTAGCCTATGAACACCTGCAATACCAGAGGTATTACGCGTGCGTTGCCGACCCTGAAGAAAACTCTTTACCCCCCTTTTGAAGAACCCCATGCTGTAGTCTCTTGGGAAAACCTCGGCAGGGAGCCCATTCCACAACCTGAGTGTCCATGGGAGGAAGCTGCGCAGTACGCGACCATTGAGGCTGTAGGACATGAGGATGAACTCCCTGTCGATGACGAGCCGTACAATAGTAGAAAGTGGCTGTGGGCATCATATATTTGAATAACTGAAGTAAAAAATGTATCATTGCCATACAGGGGCAAGAAGATCGTAGACAACAGGACAGGAAATCATACCAGAGACAGGACTCGTACCACCTAGATGACGATGATCATGACGACGGCAATGATTATCAATCGTTGAGGGTAATTACTGATTATTAACTTCGTCCGAAACGTTCATTGATAAAAAGTAAATTATGTGTTTCTCCATCCCAAATAGTGCATTTTTTTTATACAACTTAGAATGGCAAACAAGCTGACGGCCCACCTGATAGAAAGTGGTAACCATCACCTATAGACATGAGCAGTACCATGGACATAACAGAGTATACTGTTTCGCCCATGATACCGCCCAAGCGTTGCCATTCTTGAGGACTCAGGTGTTATTCTTCTGTACCCAGTAAATTCACGCTATATCCCACCCTTCAAACCGAAACACAGTCATGCAAACACAACTGCTTCACGGTTGAAACACGCATTTATACTAAACTTCGTAACAATTGATTCAACAGTTAAACCAGCAACAACAGGTAACAAACAACAAACAATCTCTCTTTCATATTTATAATAATACTAGCTTTTACCCGCGACTTCGTCCTTTTGGCCAAGATATGTTTACTGACATAGATAAAAAGTAGCCTATATTCTTCTTCTCATATTCATCATACCAGCCTTTAACTGTCCACTGCTGAACATAAGCTTTCCTCTTAGTGGGTTTTTACAGTAGTTGCCACGCTTGGCAGACGAATTGGCAACCGCAAGTAGCCTTTGGAGATGTTTAAAACAGGGCAGCAGCGTCCCTCTTAAGGGACCCTATCCCTCGCCTTCCCTTAGTCGCCTATTACGACACCCACGGGAAAGGAAGGGGTGGCCTATTCTATGACGGGACCGCACGGCTCACACATCCCATATATTACTACTAAATTCCCAACAATTGTAAGCATATTTACTTATAAAAGGAGGAGAGTCTCAATTCATCCGTATTTTTTTTGCCGTAAGCGATTTCTTTGCCAACTTCTGCATCGATTAGTTACGTTCAATTATTGATTTACATTTACTACTCCAATACTTTTTTTGTAATGGTTGACGCTGGAATGGTAACCCCGCTTGCACTATCGATATACGCTGACGGGGCACTAGTAAGAGATGACAGAGGAAGATGAATGCTGGTCAGTTAGCCCATCGTAACGAATTCAAGGATTAACCACTATAGTTTCCATAAAGAAACGCGTAGAGATCGACCTGATTGAGTATAATGGTACTTTTGGCCATAACAGAATATCAGTGTTTTACTCTTTTGAGGGCAAATCAATAAACTGAGTTGTGACCACTTTGTGTTTCTGTGGCAAACGAAATTATGTTACTTTTTATTCTTTTCTTTTTATTTTTTGTTGTTATATCTGTTATTTGTGCTGTGATTAATATAAATAAACTATATATTTATCTATTGCTAGCAATTGCGATGTTTTATCCTATTACTTACAATTCATTTCCCCCTTACTCCGGCACTGGTCCTATACTCTTACTTTATACTATTACTTTTTGTAATCGTAAATTTTTTACAAATATAAAAAAAATGTTTCAGTCATCACAATTTAACTATCTGGTTAAACAAGTGGACCAACTATCATCAGTGAGTATTAATATAAAAAAAAATATATAATTATTTGATCTGTGGTTTTTTTTTTGAAGGGTGAAAATGGAATGGTAACCCCGCCTGCGCTAGTGGGATACGCTGGCGGAGCACCAGTGAAGGGTGATAGATGAGAATGAAAACAGGCATGATAGTTTTCAGGGGGAACCGCGAGGAGGTCAACCTGGTTATATTTATTGCTAGCAATAGGATTCTTAGTCTCAATTACTAACAATCCCTTTTACCCCTTTGATCTATGATTAACAATTAGATTTTTAAAGTATAAAGAAATACGTTGTGAATTCGACTGTACTTATTTTTCTATAATATATTTCAAAAAATGTATTTTCAATTCTGAAGCGATTTTAATGATTTGTTTTAATTGAAAAAGGTTTGAAATAGTAACTTAAACAATACATAAACATACATAATAGCAAATTTTGTGCATACAAAAGTAAACCAAACAAGGAAGAAGTTGTTGTTTCAGTACTAAATTACTAAACTAAACTTCTAAAGCAGTCCAAAGGTTAAAAAATACAATACATTCTCATCATCACCATATCAGCCGCTATCTATCCACTACTACACGTAGGTCTTCCCCACTTGAGGGATCAGGGGGGGGAGGGAGCAGTAGTTGCCACGCTACCGCAGTTCGGCTTTGGTGAAGCTTTAAGAAGGACACTGCTGCCCATCTTTCAACCACCTTAGTCGTTTCTTACGACACCCACGGCAAAGGATGGGGTAGCCTATTCTATGACGGGACCACACGGCAAAATACAATCGCATAAACATTTTTTAACAGATTTATTTCCTTTTACAGAAATATCACGGTCGTGGTGTAAGTAAATTAAAAAAAATGTGTTTACATTCATGAATTATATATTTGCTTAAATAAATATTTATCTAATGTTATATATAATTTTATGTTTTTTTTTTTTCTCAAATAGACTTTGAGAGTTTACTATGTAAGTATTAAATATTGTTAAGAAATAAATGTAAATAAAATGTAAATTTTTTGGTCATAATAAGTTATTAATATGCTGTAATATATTAACAGACCCCGGCGAAATCAAAAAGCGTAAGTAAATAAGACGAATAAAAATAAAAAAGAAATTAATTCTACAATTCCAGTACGGACCTGTTTATTCCTTTTTTTTTTTGCAGTTTTACAATTCAATTTTGTTTCTTTTTACTTACAATATTATATTTCTATTTAAGTTAATCAATTTTCAACGTATTAACACGTATACGTACGTATACACACTTAATTTTTAAATTGAATTTAATTTTAATTAGATAAATCATTTCGGTTTAAAAAAAAATACATAAAAATCAATTTATAATTGTCGATTTTATCACATAACATTCATACCAATTAGTATATCCCTCATCTGTGAAGTCGGTTAATAAATTTTGTTTTTATTACAATTAAAACACATTATTTCCTTACTAAATTTTGAATGCATGCTTTTTAATAATTATATAATAATTTTCATTGCAGACTCCCGCCGTTCACTATTTAGGGGTGAGTATAAAATATTAATATTGTTAACTGAGTACAGTAACACATAACAGTGGGTGTCACAGTATATTCTGTGATATCTGTGTTGCTATTTTGTTTCACATTAATCACCAACCACATGCTACTTTGCCACCTAAATTGCCACCTAAACCTTTTCCTTTCTTAGTTTAAAAAACCATTCCTTCCTTACTTAATTTGCTTAAGAATTTGATAACGCCCCACTTTTGGACTATTAAGAATAGATCAAAAGAATAGTTGGCTATAAAAAAAGAGAAGGAAGAGGAAGAAAGAGGAATATATGGAAAGGAAATACTTGACTAGGTTGGTAAAGTTACACATGGTATGTAGTCTCACTTAAATTTTTTTTTCTCATATAACGTGATTGAATGAATGAATGGATGAACGAATAAATGAATAAATGAATGAAAGTTACAAACAGTGGCGTAACAATAGGTTGGCAGGGCTGGCAAAATGCCACGGGCCCACGATCCAAAAGGGCCCCGGCTCAAGAGGCCGCGAGCTCAAAATTTTATTTTTTTACCTTGTACCTGTGTATTTTATTTTACTTGAAAATAAATAATAGGGCCTAGGGTCCATTCAAAAGAACTTGCCGTAGGCTCCAAATGGTATAATTACGCCACTGGTTACAAATACGTAACGTAACGAAGTGTAAATAGGTAGAGTGTGTTTTTAGTTATTACTCCAACAATCTTGCCAACATTTTTTAATAGTCATAAAAAAATTACTATTTCGGAATACTTATAATAAATTTGAAAAAGTTCTTTTTTATTATTATATACTAGCTATATCCCGGGGATTGTCTGCGTCAATTTGTATATTTTATTCGCATATATAATATATTAAATACAAAATACAATGTTATGTTACAAACGGAACAAATCATAAACCGATGTCTATATACGTATATAAGGGGAAATCAACGAACTCACCATCTTTTGTCGTTTCCGACAATTGTTTCGACTTCATCCGGAAGTCTTCTTCAGGAGCCGTAAGGCGTTTTGCGTCACAGCGTCACTCCTCGCATATAGTAGACATCGGAGAAAAAAGGACATATGTTTAAAAAAGCCTTACAAGCCATACAGTTTATCGTTTACTATATATATATATATATATACTTATCGTTTACTATACACGCCATCGTCGGTATTTATATAAATACGTAGATAGATAGATACTCTTTATATTTTCCTCAACAATTTTACAATAGTAAACTTTTTTTTTATGGGTGATAATGGAATGGTAACCCCGCCCGCGCTATCGGTATATGCTGGCGGGGCACCAGTAATTAATAATAGGTGAGAATGAAAGCAGATCAGTTAGCCCATCGTGACAAATTTCATTAGAATTAACCACGATGGTTTCCAGTGGGAATAGCGTGAAGGTCGATCTGACAAGGTATATTGTTAACAATGGTACTGATATTCCCTATTACTAACAATCCCCCCCCCCCTCCATAGTAGGTAGGTAGGTATTGTATACTTTGTAAAGAAGTTGGTATACTATTCCATAGTCGAACAGCTTGCATAGTAAACGATTTGTCAAAAAAACTTTTGAAATGTACTAGTGTCTTCCGCTGGAGGGTCCCAGACAATTTCAAAATGAATAAATAAAACTATAAGATATTAACAGACTGTATGAATCAAGAGTTATGAATAATGGCATGGTCAATTATAAAAACAATTAAGCTTTTTTTTTATACAACTTAGAATGGCAAACAAGCTGACGGCCCACCTGATGTAAAGTGGTAACCGTCGCCCATAGACATGAGCAGTACCATGGACATAACAGAGTATACTGGTTCGCCCATGATACCTCCCATGCGTTCCCATTCCTGAGGACTCAGGTGTTATTCCTCTGTACCCAGTAAATTCTGTGAATAGTGTACATAAACGATCCTATATACTAAGTTAAGATATAACCTACGCATGTAACAAGTTTCATCGATTTCCGTTCAGTAGTTGTGGCGTGAAAGAGTAACAAACGTTCATCCATACTTACAAACTTTCAAATTTATAATATTTAAGAGGATTTTTTCATAAGAACTCATTTACTCGAGTTAAGAGTCCTGCAACTCTTAGCCGTTGTTCTTTGTACGCGCCCCAACGCTGCATGCGATTGCGCGCTTGTCGATTACTATCGGCACCGCCGGTTCGCACCTGTACTGCTCAGTTTGCTCCCACTTATCAGGCTATTTCTCTGCTCAATTCTCTGATTGCTCAGCAGCCAGATATTGATATATTTAATGACAAAATAGATATATTTTTAAAACGTTGTACAAAATTTGTATGTTTGTAAAATAAACCTATGGCTCACTACACGTTTTGGGAGACTGTAAGTGTAGTGAGTAAGTTTCAAATAAATAAATAAAGAGTTCTTACTGATCACTGTACTTGAGACTCAGGGTTTTCCGTATAATTAATTCAATTGTCTTATTGTTTTAGGCTCTTAACTTCCAATACGTAAGTAAAATTTGTTATAACATAATGCGCTTATTAGACATTAAGTCTTGGTGTTTTTTTTTTTAAATGGGTGAATATAAAATGTAATCCGGTCTGGGCTGTCGGTATACGCCGGTGAAAGCAGGTCAGTTAACCCATCGTGACGAATTCAAAAAGAATTAACTACAATGGTTCCCAGTTCACCGCGTGAAGGTCTACCTTCGACCTGATAGAGCATATTATTACCAGTCGGGCTGTTTAACCCCATTACTAACAATTTCTTCCCTTCCCCCCCCCCCCCCCCCAGCTGTTGGTGTTATGAATAATAATGGAAATGTAAACCCGCCTGACGGGGCACCAATGAAGGTTGTTTTTCTTTTCAATTGATGATAATGCAATGGTAACCTCCCCTGCGCTAACGGTATTCGCTGGCGGCGGGGCACCAGTAAGGAATAATAAGTGAGAATGAAATACATTTGGAATTCAACACGATGGTTTCCGGGGAAACCATGTGGAAATCGATCTGATAGGGTATATTGCTAGCAATGGGTCTAGTAGTCCGCATTACTGATAAATCCTTCCCCCCAGTGAGGGATGATAGGTGAGGATGAAATTAGATCAGATAGCTCATTGTGACTAAATTACCTCGTAGTTTTCCAGAAAGAACCACGACATACACCTGACAGGGTCATTGCCCATTCCTATCAATGTCCCCATTACTAACAACCCTATCCTCTGATATCCACCTAGTTTCATCCCCTACTATGTAGTAGTCCTTTTGCCACGTGACGAAGATGTTATTCTATTGCCCCTTCAGCCATCATTGTGTTCTTTTTTATTTAATATTTATATGTCATATATATATATATATATATATATATATATATATATATATATATATATATATATATATATATATATATATATATATATATATATATATATATATATATATATATATATAATTTGGTTTTAATTTTTCATTCTTGTATTATAATTTGTTCTTTCATCTTTTATTTCTGTAATACAGATTATGCCACTAGACAACAAAGAGGTAAGTGCAATATAATTACACTTTAATAGTAATTTTCACCGTATTTACCCCGACATAGATCAGGCCACCCCTTCCTTTCCCGTGGGTGTCGTAGGAGGCGACTAAAGGAGGGCAAATGGGCAGCAGCGTCCCTCTTAAAACATCTCTAAAAGCCTAACTGCGGTTGCCAACCCGCTTGCCAAGCGTGGCAACTACTGTCAAAACTCCCGTTAAGGAGAAGACTTATGTCCAGCAGTGGACAGTTAACGGCTGAAATTAATAAAATAAAATAATAACTTAATTGGCCTATGGGCCCGGTATAAATTATGTACTTATGTCAGATGTAATAACGTTTGAAAATGTGCAAGACTTCTTTATTATTTATTTAAATAAATGAATAAAATAAATATTCTCACATATTTAGGTATATTCACAATATCAACAAAAGGCAGACGGAAACTCCGTAAGTATCGCCATATTTTAATTTAAATAACAACATATAATATTGCACGGCCGTGTGGTCCCTGCATAGAATAGGCCACCGTTTCCTTTCCCGTGAGTATCGTAAGAGGCGACTGGGGGAGGGCGAGTTATGGGCGACCGTTGCCCAAGCGTAGCAACTACTGTCAAAACCTCCCCTTATGGGGAAGGCCTATGTTCAGCAGTGAACAGTTAAAAGCTGATGATGATGATGATATTTCCAGTACTTCTAAATATCTGTAGTCCAATCATAAAATCCTACTAATATATATTCTTTATTGCACTAAAATATACAGTTATAATAACAATTAGAAACAATATGAGTAAGGTGAACTTATCTCTAGAAGAGATCTCTTCCTGTCAACCTAACACAGTGGCATGGGAAGTAGCAGGGCAGCTGTAATGCAAAACAGAAATCTAAACAACAATTTACCTAATTTACAAATCATAATTATAATTTTTTAATTTATTTACGTTTGTTTTAATCACGCTTAAACTGTTGAACGAATTTGAAAGAAATCTAAATACTTCCAGTAAAACTCAGTCGTTCAATTTATATAGTTCAAATTGATATAATTCATAGGTCTATCAACAATTACATTTTATTATCGACTATGTACAAATCTATAACATTCTTCTGGTATGATCCTAAACAAAGAAATTCATATACGTCTAGGCTATTGAACCTCTGACCCTCCATCTCGAGCCAAACGACTCTTGGCCACATTGCCAAATAGAGTATTAAATATTTCACTCAAGACACTGTTCATATAGCACTACTTTGTCATAAATAAAGATAAAAATATTAAATATAAGATCTGAGAATTCATAATTTCATTCATTCGTTTCTCCATTTATTCAGTCATACACTTTTTTTTTTCAATTGACATGAACTGTACGGATATAGTCTCTTTTCTGCTCCTACCAAAAACTTCTTTATTTCATTCATTCTTGGAATATTTATTAATGGTAGCAGAATTAAACAAAATAATTTTGTTATCTAGAGAACCTTATACATATGTATATAACACACTATTAAAACTAATTGATAAATCAACCTCTTTAAATAAAAAATACCCCACACACATGCACGAACCCGGATTACAGCGTTAGTGCTTCACAAATCCAATTAATAAGTAAAAACTCTTCAGAAGTCCGCAAATTCCGCTCAAGAGAGTTATTAATGCTGGAAATTTAGTCCCTTTGTCAATTAATCTTGTTACGTCGAATTTTCAGTATTAGGAAATTTGTACTGAACTGAATGTCGTTCGTACAATATGATTACAAGCTTCTAATTTGTCCACTTTAGTGATGTGCCAAATCGACCCTTTTTGGTATTCCAGTATTTCGATACTCGATAAAAAATAATCGAATTCTGAGTCGAGTCTGAGGACTTAGATAAGTAATCGAATACAGGGTATTCGAGTTTTTCATCACTCGAGTGTTTTTCAATTGATTTCTGAAGCTTCCTTTTAATGATAATAATAAATAATTACTTATTAAGTTTTGACAATTCAGGAAAAAATAATAAAACAGAAACAAAAGCTTACGATAAATATGCGACTAGTATTTCGCTGCTGCAAACACTCGAATCCAGTATTCGAGTATTGTATAACCGAATTCCGTTTATTGTCTACTCGATATCTGAGTACCCGTTAGGTAATCAAAAAAGTATTCGAGTCAGCCCGACTCGGCACATCGCTATACCACTTATGTTTTGAATTTGAAATTTGTTTTGGTTACGGCAACCTAATTTGATGAAAATAAATTTTAGACGAATGCAGAACGGTTGCAGAGGAAAATTATTAGCTGAAACGATGTTTTAAAATGATAAAATGTAATTCTGAATTAACCACTAGATAAAATAATTCGTTTGTCTTTTTTTTATTAAAATATTATATTTTAATCCTTTTAAAGAAATAAGAACTACAATAAACAATAGATGAAAAATGTAAAACACCTATCACATCATTTAGAGAGACTTAGTATAAAAGTCGTTTGCTTAAGCATCTCTGTCCTATTTATGTTTCTACCATGAAGCAGTTATGTTTGCATGGTTGTGTTTCGGTTTGAAGGGTGGGATATGGCTGTGAATTTACAGTTAAAGCATCAAAAAGTAACAAACCAACTTCCCCGTGGACTGCCATGATGAATGATCCAGATGATTCAGAATGATGTAGATAGCTCACTATATCCACTAACTGCCCACAATATTTGAGGTGATTACTCTATTTATTGGTGGGGGGTAATCTCGATCGATTTTAAACTTTTGCGTTCTTTACACATATTTTAAATACACAATCGAGACTTAACGTGTTGGAAAATTTACAGGTAAATAATACCTGCTCCTTTTCATTGTGTATTTAAAATATATCTTATTCCTATATATATCTTATACCTTATCACATACCTTTTTAAAAGGCTGGCAACACATCTGCAATACCTCTGGTGTTGCGGGTGCTCATGGGCGGCGGTGGTCACTTACCATCATGTGAGCTGCATGTTCGTTTGTCCCCTATGTTGTAAAAAAAATATCTCGATCATGCAGTCGAAGTCGCGAGTAAAAACTAGTAATGGAATAAACTTGTAAAATCAAATTAAAGACGTAATTTTTTTCCCCAGGTACAAGTTGTCCCATTGTATTATCAAAAACACGATGACAAAGTAAGTACTTATATTACGTAATAATTGTAAACAGTACCAACTGACACGTCAAGGGAGGGATTTTTAATAAAGGGGACTGGTGGCCCCATTGCTAGCAATACCTACACCCTGTCAGGCCGACTTCCACGCAATTCTCCTGGAAGCCATCGTGGTTAATTATTGTGTAATTTGTCACGATGGACTAACTGACCTATTTGATCCTCACCAATCATTTCTCACTGGTGATATATCGGCGTATACCTACAGCGTAATGAGAGTTTCCATTCCATTTTCAAACATAAAAAAAAAAAACATTATTTTGCCGTAGGAATGCAATTATTAATAACGGTTACTGGTGGCCCCATTGCTAGCAATATCTGTAGTTCGTAAGTCGCCACGCAGTCTTTCCTGGATACCGTCGTGGTTTATTCTTTAATAACCCAACTGATCCACTCTAAGTGTATCAGTTGGGTTATTAAATTATTATGGGACAACAAGCCCCATTGCTAGCAATATACCCTGTCAGGTCGACCCCCACGTGATTCCCTCTGGAAACAATCGTGCTGGATTCCATTATGTATTCATCACGAAGGGCTAACTGACTTGCTTTTTCACCCTCACCTATCATCCCTCACTGGTGTCCCGCCAGCGTGTACCGTTAGCGCAGGCGGGGTAGCCATTACATTATCATCCATTAAAAAAAACTAATCCACACCTATCATCCCTCACTGGCACCTCGCCACGCATTAGAATTCTGATCTGCAGTAAATTCATAAAAAATAACAATTTAAAAATGCTTTTGTTTTATAAACACAGGGGACAAACGAATATGCGGCTTACCCGATGGTAAGTAACTACCGCCGCCCATGATCACCCGTAACACCAGAAACACTGCAGGTGTACTGCTGGCCTTTAAAAAAGGAATATATTTCTTGAAGGTTATGATGTCGTATCGGTTTGGAAATACTGCTGCTGGAAGTTGATCCCAAAGTGTGATATACTTATAAACAAGTGTATCTGAATAAAATGATTTAAATTTGGATTTAAATTGATATTCAATAATATTTCCTTAGTAATATTTAATTGAATTAATATTTAATGTACAATACCATAGTCCTCAGGAATGACGTGGGATGGAGTATACCATGGATGTCACAGTGTTTACAATATCCATGCTACTGTTTATATCTATAAGCGACAGTTACCACTTTTTATCAACGTTCTAATTATAAAAAACAAAAAAAAAAATAAAAACGTAAAATTATAATACAATCGACGCAAAAAATAATCTAGAAATGTCTTTTTTTTTTTAGGCACAAGCTAATCCAAGCTACTATTCTTATCACAAACATGGTGACAATGTAAGAAATGAAATAATTATTTATTTATTTTTATTACAATAAAAAGCTAACCATAGCTACCATAGGGAGTTTTTGTACAAAAGTCGTCGACTTGGGTACTTCTGTGCCACTCGTGTTTGTGCCATTAATGGAATATTAACTCCACCTCGAGTTCTTTCCCCACGCGAAAACCAACAAGTAATAAAATCAATCCGAGACTTTGTACAAAAGTAGTTTACTTGGGTGTTATAATATAATAATAATAATATAATATAATTTATTTGCTGAAAAACACGGTATACAGATGGTAGTAATAATATGTTAGGAACAGGCATGTTTTACCAAAACAATGCCATGCAAAATTTTAATGGTTAGCAGGTGGAATATGGCAGTTAATTTACAGAGGTATAACACATTAATCCTTAGGAATGGTAACGTATTAAGGGCGTCATGAGTGAAACAGTATACTCTGTTATGTCCATGGTACTGTTCATGTCTATAGGCGACGGTTACCACTTTCGATCAAGTGGGCCGTCAGCTTGTTTGCCATTCCAAGTTGCTTAAAAAATGTTTATTTGTATATAGACTTGTTTACAACGTCTTTTAAAATTTTTTTAATAAATATATTTTTATTATAATTTATTTATATTCCTATCAACAGAAGGATAATGATGACGTAAGTATTTAGTAGATATGTTTCTTGACCGGGATAAAAAGTACCCTATACCCTGCTCCATCCCCTATAGTATATATATACCAAATTTCATAGTGATAAGTTAAGCTATTAAGGCGCTATAAAGTAATAAACAAACTCACTTCCACATTTGAATATAAGTAGGGATAAAAACAAACAAAGACGCGGGATACAACTAGTACTTTAATTATGAATTTTTGTAAAGATTTTTAGTACTTATTTATACTTAAAAGACAGAACGGATTTGAGTTAAAATTGGTGCTACTTATATACTAATTTTTCTACATATTATAGGATATCTACCTTATATACCGAAGCACACGAGCAAAACCCTCTGAAACAGCTAGTCTATATGGTTAAAAGACACTTATGTCAGATTTTTTAACAAGTGTGAGACTTTATTTTTATTTGTTTAAATAAATAAATAAAATAAATATTTTCGCTTTCTTAGGTATATTCCCAATATCAAGAAAAGGCAAACGGAAACTCTGTAAGTGTTGCCATATTTTAGTACTTACACATAATATTGTGCTGCCGTGTGGTCCCGGCATAGAATAAACCACTCCTTCCTTTCCCGTGGGTATCATTGGCGTCACGTCATATCAGAGACGACTAAGGAGGATGAGGGATAGACAGCAGCGTCACTACTAAAACATCTCCAAAGCCTATCCGTTGCCAATCCACCTGTCAAGCGTAGCAACGACTGGCAACATCCCCCAAGCGGAGGCTTATGTTCAGCAGTGGACAGTTAAAAGCTGATATAGTCATCATTGATCATGTAGTTCTCTTTTCATTTAAGAGTTATATCTTCTCTTATCTCTCTTATCGGTGCAACTAATTCATGTGCATGTAGTTATAAATTATTAAATGTCACTTTTCAGCCGCAGATCTACCCATATTATCAACAAAAGAGGGATTATAATAAAGTAAGTATTAATTAACTAAAATGACAATTTTACCTGAGACTTTGTACAGAATTCGTCGTGCATATCTATGTTTTGATTTGAAGGGTGGGAGATGGCAATGAATTTAGGGAGGCATAATAATATAATAATGTATTTATTATCTCCAACAAACAATTAAAAAGCACCAAAAGGTAGTATATTCCAAAATGTATAATCTGATAATAAAAGTTTGGCGCCCAAGCTACGTTAAGACCTGTATCCTGTGTCGCCAGTATCTAGTGGTATATCCAAGACCCTGGGGCAAAAAGTAAACCAGCCTAAGAATACAGGAGAGTTCCCCGCACATTAAAAAAAAAAAAAATCTTCGAGACTTGTTGCGAATTCCCCTATATTTTTTCAAATAAGTTACCAAAATTAAGGTCGCGTTCCTTGAATCTGGTTTATTTATATTCCAAATGTGGAAGAAATTTTCACTAGTTCATTTTACAGCCTGTGGGCCATAAAGCTATCAAGCACTTATAGAAGTTTTTATAAAGTAACTAGCGGCCCGTCCCGGCTTCGCACGGGTGTACATTTTTACAACATTTTACATTTTTATCTGTACCTACCTAGCTACCTATTTCATAGATATGCCCGCCCCCACCTGACCCTCTTCCGCACCACTAAAATAGGTACGAAAAACATGTACAACGCGACAGCGCTATTTTTTCTATTTCTATGAATCATTAAATTCGTAATATCTATTGAATGAAATAGCCGATTTGAACAATATATTTAAAAATATAAACAAAAATCCCCATTAACAAAAATGATCTACCATTTATTGAGTTTATTTGTTACAAAAAATGTGATAAATGAAGAACCGTCCGACCGATTTTGTGCAAATTTCACATAAACCATCTACTAAATAGTCCGAACAAAGTCTAAACATTTGGTTTGGATATATAAGGTATCCTATCGTCGTGGTCGTGGTTTATTCTTTAATAACCCAACTGATCCACTCTAAGTGTATCAGTTGGGTTATTAAATTATTATGGGACTACAAGCCCCATTGCTAGCAATATACCCTGTCAGGTCGACCCCCACGTGATTCCCTCTGGAAACAATCGTGCTGGATTCCATATGTATTCATCACGATGGGCTAACTGACCTGCTTTTTCATTCTCACCTATCATCCCTCACTGGTGTCCCGCCAGCGTGTACCGTTAGCGCAGGCAGGGTTGCCATTACATTATCATCCATTAAAAAAAACAACTAATTCACTCTAAGCCACACCTATCATCCCTCACTAGCACCTCGCCACGCATTAGAATTCTGATCTGCAGTAGATTCATAAAAAATAACAATTTAAAAATGCTTTTGTTTTATAAACACAGGGGGCAAACGAATATGCGGCTTACCCGATGGTAAGTAACTACCACCGCTCATAATCACCCGCAACACCAGAAGCACTGCAGGTGTACTGCTGGCCTTTAAAATAGGAATATATTTCTTGAAGGTTATGATGTCGTATCGGTTCGGAAATACTGCTGCTGGAATCTGACCTTTAAGTGTGATAGACTTATAAACAAGTGTATCTAAATAAAATGATTTAAATTTGGATTGAAATTGATATTCAATAATATTTCCTTAGTAATATTTAATTGGATTAATACTTAATGCACAACACAATAGTCCTCAGGAATGACGAGGGATGGAGTATACCATGGGTATCACAGTGTTTGTAATATCCATGGTACTATTTACATCTATAAGCAACGGTTACCACTTTTCATCAACATTCTAATTATAAAAAACAAAAAAGAATAAAAACGTAAAATTATAATACAATCGACGCAAAAAATAATCTAGAAATGTCTTTTTTTTTTAGGCACAAGCTAATCCAAGCTACTATTCTTATCACAAACATGGTGACAATGTAAGAAATGAAATAATTATTTATTTATTTTTATTACAATAAAAAGCTAACCATAGCTACCATAGGGAGTTTTTGTACAAAAGTCGTCGACTTGGGTACTTCTGTGCCACTCGTGTTTGTGCCATTAATGGAATATTAACTCCACCTCGAGTTCTTTCCCCACGCGAAAACCAACAAGTAATAAAATCAATCCGAGACTTTGTACAAAAGTAGTTTACTTGGGTGTTATAATATAATAATAATAATATAATATAATTTATTTGCTGAAAAACACGGTATACAGATGGTAGTAATAATATGTTAGGAACAGGCATGTTTTACCAAAACAATGCCATGCAAAATTTTAATGGTTAGCAGGTGGAATATGGCAGTTAATTTACAGAGGTATAACACATTAATCCTTAGGAATGGTAACGTATTAAGGGCGTCATGAGTGAAACAGTATACTCTGTTATGTCCATGGTACTGTTCATGTCTATAGGCGACGGTTACCACTTTCGATCAAGTGGGCCGTCAGCTTGTTTGCCATTCCAAGTTGCTTAAAAAATGTTTATTTGTATATAGACTTGTTTACAACGTCTTTTAAAATTTTTTTAATAAATATATTTTTATTATAATTTATTTATATTCCTATCAACAGAAGGATAATGATGACGTAAGTATTTAGTAGATATGTTTCTTGACCGGGATAAAAAGTACCCTATACCCTGCTCCATCCCCTATAGTATATATATACCAAATTTCATAGTGATAAGTTAAGCTATTAAGGCGCTATAAAGTAATAAACAAACTCACTTCCACATTTGAATATAAGTAGGGATAAAAACAAACAAAGACGCGGGATACAACTAGTACTTTAATTATGAATTTTTGTAAAGATTTTTAGTACTTATTTATACTTAAAAGACAGAACGGATTTGAGTTAAAATTGGTGCTACTTATATACTAATTTTTCTACATATTATAGGATATCTACCTTATATACCGAAGCACACGAGCAAAACCCTCTGAAACAGCTAGTCTATATGGTTAAAAGACACTTATGTCAGATTTTTTAACAAGTGTGAGACTTTATTTTTATTTGTTTAAATAAATAAATAAAATAAATATTTTCGCTTTCTTAGGTATATTCCCAATATCAAGAAAAGGCAAACGGAAACTCTGTAAGTGTTGCCATATTTTAGTACTTACACATAATATTGTGCTGCCGTGTGGTCCCGGCATAGAATAAACCACTCCTTCCTTTCCCGTGGGTATCATTGGCGTCACGTCATATCAGAGACGACTAAGGAGGATGAGGGATAGACAGCAGCGTCACTACTAAAACATCTCCAAAGCCTATCCGTTGCCAATCCACCTGTCAAGCGTAGCAACGACTGGCAACATCCCCCAAGCGGAGGCTTATGTTCAGCAGTGGACAGTTAAAAGCTGATATAGTCATCATTGATCATGTAGTTCTCTTTTCATTTAAGAGTTATATCTTCTCTTATCTCTCTTATCGGTGCAACTAATTCATGTGCATGTAGTTATAAATTATTAAATGTCACTTTTCAGCCGCAGATCTACCCATATTATCAACAAAAGAGGGATTATAATAAAGTAAGTATTAATTAACTAAAATGACAATTTTACCTGAGACTTTGTACAGAATTCGTCGTGCATATCTATGTTTTGATTTGAAGGGTGGGAGATGGCAATGAATTTAGGGAGGCATAATAATATAATAATGTATTTATTATCTCCAACAAACAATTAAAAAGCACCAAAAGGTAGTATATTCCAAAATGTATAATCTGATAATAAAAGTTTGGCGCCCAAGCTACGTTAAGACCTGTATCCTGTGTCGCCAGTATCTAGTGGTATATCCAAGACCCTGGGGCAAAAAGTAAACCAGCCTAAGAATACAGGAGAGTTCCCCGCACATTTAAAAAAAAATCTTCGAGACTTGTTGCGAATTCCCCTATATTTTTTCAAATAAGTTACCAAAATTAAGGTCGCGTTCCTTGAATCTGGTTTATTTATATTCCAAATGTGGAAGAAATTTTCACTAGTTCATTTTACAGCCTGTGGGCCATAAAGCTATCAAGCACTTATAGAAGTTTTTATAAAGTAACTAGCGGCCCGTCCCGGCTTCGCACGGGTGTACATTTTTACAACATTTTACATTTTTATCTGTACCTACCTAGCTACCTATTTCATAGATATGCCCGCCCCCACCTGACCCTCTTCCGCACCACTAAAATAGGTACGAAAAACATGTACAACGCGACAGCGCTATTTTTTCTATTTCTATGAATCATTAAATTCGTAATATCTATTGAATGAAATAGCCGATTTGAACAATATATTTAAAAATATAAACAAAAATCCCCATTAACAAAAATGATCTACCATTTATTGAGTTTATTTGTTACAAAAAATGTGATAAATGAAGAACCGTCCGACCGATTTTGTGCAAATTTCACATAAACCATCTACTAAATAGTCCGAACAAAGTCTAAACATTTGGTTTGGATATATAAGGTATCCTATCGTCGTGGTCGTGGTTTATTCTTTAATAACCCAACTGATCCACTCTAAGTGTATCAGTTGGGTTATTAAATTATTATGGGACTACAAGCCCCATTGCTAGCAATATACCCTGTCAGGTCGACCCCCACGTGATTCCCTCTGGAAACAATCGTGCTGGATTCCATATGTATTCATCACGATGGGCTAACTGACCTGCTTTTTCATTCTCACCTATCATCCCTCACTGGTGTCCCGCCAGCGTGTACCGTTAGCGCAGGCAGGGTTGCCATTACATTATCATCCATTAAAAAAAACAACTAATTCACTCTAAGCCACACCTATCATCCCTCACTAGCACCTCGCCACGCATTAGAATTCTGATCTGCAGTAGATTCATAAAAAATAACAATTTAAAAATGCTTTTGTTTTATAAACACAGGGGGCAAACGAATATGCGGCTTACCCGATGGTAAGTAACTACCACCGCTCATAATCACCCGCAACACCAGAAGCACTGCAGGTGTACTGCTGGCCTTTAAAATAGGAATATATTTCTTGAAGGTTATGATGTCGTATCGGTTCGGAAATACTGCTGCTGGAATCTGACCTTTAAGTGTGATAGACTTATAAACAAGTGTATCTAAATAAAATGATTTAAATTTGGATTGAAATTGATATTCAATAATATTTCCTTAGTAATATTTAATTGGATTAATACTTAATGCACAACACAATAGTCCTCAGGAATGACGAGGGATGGAGTATACCATGGGTATCACAGTGTTTGTAATATCCATGGTACTATTTACATCTATAAGCAACGGTTACCACTTTTCATCAACATTCTAATTATAAAAAACAAAAAAGAATAAAAACGTAAAATTATAATACAATCGACGCAAAAAATAATCTAGAAATGTCTTTTTTTTTTAGGCACAAGCTAATCCAAGCTACTATTCTTATCACAAACATGGTGACAATGTAAGAAATGAAATAATTATTTATTTATTTTTATTACAATAAAAAGCTAACCATAGCTACCATAGGGAGTTTTTGTACAAAAGTCGTCGACTTGGGTACTTCTGTGCCACTCGTGTTTGTGCCATTAATGGAATATTAACTCCACCTCGAGTTCTTTCCCCACGCGAAAACCAACAAGTAATAAAATCAATCCGAGACTTTGTACAAAAGTAGTTTACTTGGGTGTTATAATATAATAATAATAATATAATATAATTTATTTGCTGAAAAACACGGTATACAGATGGTAGTAATAATATGTTAGGAACAGGCATGTTTTACCAAAACAATGCCATGCAAAATTTTAATGGTTAGCAGGTGGAATATGGCAGTTAATTTACAGAGGTATAACACATTAATCCTTAGGAATGGTAACGTATTAAGGGCGTCATGAGTGAAACAGTATACTCTGTTATGTCCATGGTACTGTTCATGTCTATAGGCGACGGTTACCACTTTCGATCAAGTGGGCCGTCAGCTTGTTTGCCATTCCAAGTTGCTTAAAAAATGTTTATTTGTATATAGACTTGTTTACAACGTCTTTTAAAATTTTTTTAATAAATATATTTTTATTATAATTTATTTATATTCCTATCAACAGAAGGATAATGATGACGTAAGTATTTAGTAGATATGTTTCTTGACCGGGATAAAAAGTACCCTATACCCTGCTCCATCCCCTATAGTATATATATACCAAATTTCATAGTGATAAGTTAAGCTATTAAGGCGCTATAAAGTAATAAACAAACTCACTTCCACATTTGAATATAAGTAGGGATAAAAACAAACAAAGACGCGGGATACAACTAGTACTTTAATTATGAATTTTTGTAAAGATTTTTAGTACTTATTTATACTTAAAAGACAGAACGGATTTGAGTTAAAATTGGTGCTACTTATATACTAATTTTTCTACATATTATAGGATATCTACCTTATATACCGAAGCACACGAGCAAAACCCTCTGAAACAGCTAGTCTATATGGTTAAAAGACACTTATGTCAGATTTTTTAACAAGTGTGAGACTTTATTTTTATTTGTTTAAATAAATAAATAAAATAAATATTTTCGCTTTCTTAGGTATATTCCCAATATCAAGAAAAGGCAAACGGAAACTCTGTAAGTGTTGCCATATTTTAGTACTTACACATAATATTGTGCTGCCGTGTGGTCCCGGCATAGAATAAACCACTCCTTCCTTTCCCGTGGGTATCATTGGCGTCACGTCATATCAGAGACGACTAAGGAGGATGAGGGATAGACAGCAGCGTCACTACTAAAACATCTCCAAAGCCTATCCGTTGCCAATCCACCTGTCAAGCGTAGCAACGACTGGCAACATCCCCCAAGCGGAGGCTTATGTTCAGCAGTGGACAGTTAAAAGCTGATATAGTCATCATTGATCATGTAGTTCTCTTTTCATTTAAGAGTTATATCTTCTCTTATCTCTCTTATCGGTGCAACTAATTCATGTGCATGTAGTTATAAATTATTAAATGTCACTTTTCAGCCGCAGATCTACCCATATTATCAACAAAAGAGGGATTATAATAAAGTAAGTATTAATTAACTAAAATGACAATTTTACCTGAGACTTTGTACAGAATTCGTCGTGCATATCTATGTTTTGATTTGAAGGGTGGGAGATGGCAATGAATTTAGGGAGGCATAATAATATAATAATGTATTTATTATCTCCAACAAACAATTAAAAAGCACCAAAAGGTAGTATATTCCAAAATGTATAATCTGATAATAAAAGTTTGGCGCCCAAGCTACGTTAAGACCTGTATCCTGTGTCGCCAGTATCTAGTGGTATATCCAAGACCCTGGGGCAAAAAGTAAACCAGCCTAAGAATACAGGAGAGTTCCCCGCACATTTAAAAAAAAAATCTTCGAGACTTGTTGCGAATTCCCCTATATTTTTTCAAATAAGTTACCAAAATTAAGGTCGCGTTCCTTGAATCTGGTTTATTTATATTCCAAATGTGGAAGAAATTTTCACTAGTTCATTTTACAGCCTGTGGGCCATAAAGCTATCAAGCACTTATAGAAGTTTTTATAAAGTAACTAGCGGCCCGTCCCGGCTTCGCACGGGTGTACATTTTTACAACATTTTACATTTTTATCTGTACCTACCTAGCTACCTATTTCATAGATATGCCCGCCCCCACCTGACCCTCTTCCGCACCACTAAAATAGGTACGAAAAACATGTACAACGCGACAGCGCTATTTTTTCTATTTCTATGAATCATTAAATTCGTAATATCTATTGAATGAAATAGCCGATTTGAACAATATATTTAAAAATATAAACAAAAATCCCCATTAACAAAAATGATCTACCATTTATTGAGTTTATTTGTTACAAAAAATGTGATAAATGAAGAACCGTCCGACCGATTTTGTGCAAATTTCACATAAACCATCTACTAAATAGTCCGAACAAAGTCTAAACATTTGGTTTGGATATATAAGGTATCCTATCGTCGTGGTCGTGGTTTATTCTTTAATAACCCAACTGATCCACTCTAAGTGTATCAGTTGGGTTATTAAATTATTATGGGACTACAAGCCCCATTGCTAGCAATATACCCTGTCAGGTCGACCCCCACGTGATTCCCTCTGGAAACAATCGTGCTGGATTCCATATGTATTCATCACGATGGGCTAACTGACCTGCTTTTTCATTCTCACCTATCATCCCTCACTGGTGTCCCGCCAGCGTGTACCGTTAGCGCAGGCAGGGTTGCCATTACATTATCATCCATTAAAAAAAACAACTAATTCACTCTAAGCCACACCTATCATCCCTCACTAGCACCTCGCCACGCATTAGAATTCTGATCTGCAGTAGATTCATAAAAAATAACAATTTAAAAATGCTTTTGTTTTATAAACACAGGGGGCAAACGAATATGCGGCTTACCCGATGGTAAGTAACTACCACCGCTCATAATCACCCGCAACACCAGAAGCACTGCAGGTGTACTGCTGGCCTTTAAAATAGGAATATATTTCTTGAAGGTTATGATGTCGTATCGGTTCGGAAATACTGCTGCTGGAATCTGACCTTTAAGTGTGATAGACTTATAAACAAGTGTATCTAAATAAAATGATTTAAATTTGGATTGAAATTGATATTCAATAATATTTCCTTAGTAATATTTAATTGGATTAATACTTAATGCACAACACAATAGTCCTCAGGAATGACGAGGGATGGAGTATACCATGGGTATCACAGTGTTTGTAATATCCATGGTACTATTTACATCTATAAGCAACGGTTACCACTTTTCATCAACATTCTAATTATAAAAAACAAAAAAGAATAAAAACGTAAAATTATAATACAATCGACGCAAAAAATAATCTAGAAATGTCTTTTTTTTTTAGGCACAAGCTAATCCAAGCTACTATTCTTATCACAAACATGGTGACAATGTAAGAAATGAAATAATTATTTATTTATTTTTATTACAATAAAAAGCTAACCATAGCTACCATAGGGAGTTTTTGTACAAAAGTCGTCGACTTGGGTACTTCTGTGCCACTCGTGTTTGTGCCATTAATGGAATATTAACTCCACCTCGAGTTCTTTCCCCATGCGAAAACCAACAAGTAATAAAATGAATCCGAGACTTTGTACAAAAGTAGTTTACTTGGGTGTTATAATATAATAATAATAATATAATATAATTTATTTGCTGAAAAACACGGTATACAGATGGTAGTAATAATATGTTAGGAACAGGCGTGTTTTGCCAAAACAATGGCATGCAAAATTTTAATAGTTAGCAGGTATAATATGGCAGTTAATTTACAGGGTATAATACAGAGGTATAACACTTTAATCCTTAGGAATGGTAACGCATTAAGGGCGTCATGGATGAAACAGTAGACTCTGTTATGTCCATGGTACTGTTCATGTCTATAGGCGACGGTTACCACTTTCCATCAGGTGGGCCGTCAGCTTGTTTGCCATTCCAAGTTGCTTAAAAAATGTTTATTTGTATATAGACTTGTTTACAACGTCTTTTAAAATTTTTTTAATAAATATATTTTTATTATAATTTATTTATATTCCTATCAACAGAAGGATAATGATGACGTAAGTATTTAGTAGATATGTTTCTTGACCGGGATAAAAAGTACCCTATACCCTGCTCCATCCCCTATAGTATATATATACCAAATTTCATAGTGATAAGTTAAGCTATTAAGGCGCTATAAAGTAATAAACAAACTCACTTCCACATTTGAATATTAGTAAGGATTAAAACGAGCAATAACGGGGGATACAACTAGTACTTTAATTATGAATTTTTGTAAAGATTTTTGGTACTAATTTATACTTAAAAGACAGAACGGATTTGAGTTTTAAATTGGTGCTACTTATATACAATTTTTTCTACATATTATAGGATACCTTATATACCGATGCACACGAGCAAAACCCTCTGAAACAGCTAGTCTATTATATCGTTAAAAGACACTTATGTCAGATTTTTTAATAAGTGTGAGACTTTATTTTTATTTGTTTAAATAAATAAATAAAATAAATATTTTCGCTTTCTTAGGTATATTCCCAATATCAAGAAAAGGCATACGGAAACTCTGTAAGTGTTGCCATATTTTAGTACTTACACATAATATTGTGCTACCGTGTGGTCCCGGCATAGAATAGACCACTTCTTCCTTTCCCGTGGGTGTCATTGGCGTCACGTCATGTCAGAGATGACTAAGGAGGATGAGGGATAGACAGCAGCGTCATTATTAGAACATCTCCAAAGCCTATCCGTTGCCAATCTACCTATCAAGCGTAGCAACGACTGGCAACATCCCCCAAGCGGAGGCTTATGTTCAGCAGTGGACAGTTAAAAGCTGATATAGTCATCATTGATCATGTAGTTCTCTTTTCATTTAAGAGTTTCCTCTTGTCGGTGCAACTAATTCATGCATCTTCCTCCAGCCAGCTCTATCCCAGGTCATATCCTTTATCTTCCTATACGACATGACACCTAGTGTTTCCTTTATCTGTCCCATGTAGTTAATCCTCGGTCTTCCTCTTCCTCTTTTGCCCTCTATCTTTCCTTCTACTATGCTCTTAAAAAAATCGTCATGTCGTATAAGGTGGCCCAGCATTTTGCCTCTTCTATTCTTTATTATTTCAACCAATCATGTAGTTATAAATTATTAAATGTCACTTTTCAGCCGCAAATCTACCCATATTATCAACAAAAGAGGGGTTATAATAAAGTAAGTATTAATTAACTAAAATGACAATTTTACCTGAGACTTTGTACAGAATTCGTCGTGCATATCTATGTTTTGATTTGAAGGGTGGGAGATGGCAATGAAATTAGGGAGGCATAATAATATAATAATGTATTTATTATCTCCAACAAACAATTAAAAAGCACCAAAAGGTAGTATATTCCAAAATTTATATTTTGATAATAAAAGTTTGGCGCCCACGCTACGTTAAGACCTGTATCCTGTGTCGCCAGTGTCTAGTGGTATATCTAAGACCCTGGGGCAAAAAGTAAACCAGCCTAAGAATACAGGAGAGTTCCCCGCAAATTTAAAAAAAAAATCTTCGAGACTTGTTGCGAATTCCCCTATATTTTTTCAAATAAGTTACCAAAATTAAGGTCGCGTTCCTTGAATCTGGTTTATTTATATTTCAAATGTGGGAGAAATTTTCACTAGTTCATTTTACAGCCTGTGGGCCATAAAGCTATCAAGCACTTATAGAAGTTTTTATAAAGTAACTAGCGGCCCGTCCCGGCTTCGCACGGGTGTACATTTTTACAACATTTTACATTTTTATCTGTACCTACCTAGCTACCTATTTCATAGATATGCCCGCTCCCACATGCCCCTCTTCCGCACCACTAAAATAGGTACGAAAAACATGTACAATGCGACAGCGCTATTTTTTCTATTTCTATGAATCATTAAATTCGTAATATCTATTGAATGAAATAGCCGATTTGAACAATATATTTAAAAATATAAACACAAAGCAATAATTATCGCTGACAACTCGCTTTAATCGAAGCATGCCGAAAATGAAATGACCGCATGAATGACATAACAACATGCTTGTAATGTCAACACTGAAAAAGTTTCAATTTGACAGCACAATCCCCATCTTAAAAAAGTTTGAATTTGACACAAAAATCTCCATTAACAAAAATTATCTGCCATTTATTGAATTTATTTGTTACAAAAAATGTGATAAATGAAGAACCGCTCGACCGATTTTGTGCAAATTTCACATAAACCATCTACTAAATAGTCCGAACAAAGCCTAAACATTTGGTTTGGATAGGTGAGCCCATTCTTGAGTTATAAAATTACAACGAAAAGTGGCATTAATTTTATATATTTATAGATAAATTATACTTGGTTATTGATTTTTACTTGAATATTTTCATTTTTTCAGCTATATCAAAATCAACAAAAATCAGATTATGGGAACCAAGTAAGTGTTGTCAACTTTTTAAGTAACTACATACGAGTAATTTGAGATTAAATCTTATGCCATTGCCATTATCAAATAAACAAAAAAAAATTCTTTCAAAATTTACTCTCTTCTCATATCAGAGTTTCCTCTTGTCGGAACAAGTAATTCTCTTCCAATCACCTCTATTCCAGGCCATATCTTTGACTTATACGACATGACACCTAGTTTTTTCTTCATCTATCCCTCTTTACTAATGTTATAAATACACGGAAGATATTTAAGAAAAATTAATCTGAGGGCCTTAATAAGACTAATAGGTACTAAAACTATAATTTTTTGAAATTTTGTCTGTCTGTCTGTATTATTTAAAATTACTGCACTGAATTCATCCAATTGGATGAGGTTTTCACAGTTGAGTTTCTGACAGTCCAACTTAAAATCTGGTTTACCTTGATCGGCTATCTATAAATGGACAATTTCATTTTTACTTCTAAAATAGAGTAGTAGAAGTAGCAGGCAAAGAAGAAGTATTATTAAAGAAAATCTCTTACCATACCATACCATATCAGCCAATAACTGCCCACTGCTGAACATGGACCTCCTGTAATAAATTTAATTTAAACATGTTATATTTATAATGTACCCCTACAATGTCTACGAAAAATCTCGTCAGTCATCCGTAAATTGAAATAATTTTTCAAACTTCTTCAAAAAAGTGGTTTCCCAGCTACTAATTACATGAAGGTCAACCTGACAATGTATTGCTATATATCCTGTCAGGTTGACCTCCACGTGATTAGTAAATAGTATTAGATAGTACTGGTAACCCGCATTACTAACAATCCCTTTTCCCGTAGCTGTTAGAAATTTATTAATAATTGGGTATATGTACATTCAAAGATGTGCCTTTATTCGTCAGATTCATCGGTACTTGGTAAGTAAATAAAACACATTTGAAATAAAAATAGATAACAAAGTTTAAAAAAAATCTTATCAAAATATTGATGATAAGCATAAGCTACGTTCGCGTCAATCAAACCATATGGAATGAGCTCCCTGCCGAGGTTTTCCCAAAAGACTACAGCATGGGGTTATTCAAAAGGGGGTAAAGAGATTTCTTCAGTGTCGACAACGCGCACGTAATACCCGTGGTATTACAGGCATTCATAGGCTACGGTAGCCACTTACCACCATCAGGTGGGCCGTATGCTTGATTGCCACGTCAGTGATATAAAAAAAATCTGTTCGATTCTCAGCTACACATGTCTCGTTTAGTTATTTCAAAAGATTTTACATTCGAATTTATTATTCTTCTACAAGTAATGTCCAAAGCATGCCACAATCATAACGTATACATGTTTAAACTTATTATTATAGTTTAAAACTCCATAAAGAAATATTTGAGCAGAATGTCCACATTTTTTTTTAATACTGATGTCTATCTATTCTATTTAAGAGCTGCGCTCTTGTCGGTGGAGCTCTTGCCACTCACTACGATTTTCAACGAGTCTCTTCACGTCTTGATACGACACGACACCAACTCCTTCCTTGATCTGCCTGTTGTAACTATGCCTCGGTCTCCCTCTTCCTCTCCTTCCTTCTATCTTCTATTATAATGTTCATAAGTTCGTCGTGTCGTATCAAGTGTCCCAACATTTTTCCCCTTCTGTCCTCAATAGTTCTAATAATTTGTCTTTTTTCCTTAACCCTAAGCAGGACCTCTTCATTGCTAATTCGATCCCTCCAGCTAATTTTCTCCATTCTTCTCCAGCACCATATTTCAAAGGCTGTTGTCACATTTCAAATGTTGATTTCACAAAAAGAAAAACCAATGAAATATACCACTTTCAGATAATGTATTGAGATAAAACATATTTACACTATGATTATTATTTATTTTATTTTTATTTATTTATTCTTTATTGACCGCATTACAAAAAAATGTCTACAAATTACATCACAGGAGTACAAGTGTAAAAACCGTATCCAATTCAGCACAGTAGTTTTTGCGTGATACCGGAATAAACGTACGCACAGACAGACAGACAAAAATTCTAAGAATTCTAGTTTTGGCTTCTATTGGTCTTATTAAGTCAAATAAATATTTTTGATATATTAATATGAGGATATTAATATTTCAAATATATTTATTTGTTTATTTAACTCTTTATTGCACAGACAATATATAACAAAAATTTTATGAATGATGAATGAATCAATCAGGAATTTTATAAGGAAACTAACTGTTAATATTATATGTTAATTCTTATCAGAGAGAACTGCAAGATGATCGTTATGACAATGCTGATAACGACGATCAGTAAATCACGAGATGACTACTTAACTATCTAAGATGAACGAAATGGGCTTTTAAACAGGATAAGGGCTGTTTTTGAATTACTCAATTGTATTATACGCAATAAAGAGCTTCGTTGCAGCAAAAACTTGTTTTTATTTGCATTAATACTACCTATGCCTATCTATTTTTATTATTCGGGAATACGAAACAGGCAACATGACCATAGGAGTATATAGGAAAGATTGGAAGAGGGGTTATTGCTCCATGCTTAAATTATCCGATGCCCATTTTAAGATACAAGAGGAGTTTCGAAAAAATAAGCCAGTTCGATGGAGAATAAAATTTATAATATGCTAATGAATACGACTAGATTGTTCAAAAATAAAATAAATAAACATGGTTGTAAAACTAGATAGTAAAAGAATCGTCAAAATTTGTCATTAGGAATATAACAAAATATCTAATATTAAAATTTAAACCTTTATTATGGGGTCTAATTCAATCACATTGATTCAATTATTGGCTGATAAGATGATATGAGACAAAAATGTATACTATTTAGTCTATCAATAAATCACAAAGAGATTTCCCGTAAGAGGTAAACGAAAAGGGATACCAACTTGGAATTGGTGAAAATCGATAAAACATAGAAAAAAAAATTCTTGCATTTTTAGATATCGTAGAAAAATATTTGATATTTTGGTAGGATAGGCGCCATATCGATAAAAATATCGAAAAATTTTCGAAATCACTGGCGTAAACCAACTGGGGCTTTATTTAAGAGCTTTATATAGACTCTAAATAGAACCAAACTTCGGAACCTCAAAATTCATTCAGAGTTTTTCTTCTATTTATCCTTTTGGTATAAGAATAAGGAAACTAAGTCCGTACAGCCTAGTTATAGTGAATTTATCTATTAAGACTTCTTAACCGTATTATTAATAAAAAAAACATAGGAAGTGAGATAGTTTTTAATATCTCTTAATAATTCTAACATCAACCAAATTAATTCCTTCATTCCTTTAAGCATAGATTAAGAATAATGCGTAATTTGACAGTAGTTAAAATGTCATCGTTAAATTAATACATGTCGTCAGTTGTCAAAATTTATTTAATTTTTGTTGAACATAGACGCTTATGTTTTCCATAATTTAAAATTTAATTTAAATGCATTAATTAATACAACGTAGTGAATTTAAGAACAATCTACAGTTTTTATAGATTAGGATATACTATATCGAAAAATCAATTGTATTGTGAAACGAACATTAAGTAATACTCATAATGACTACAAAGATAGACCAAAAGGCGTATTTACAAAAATATCTTGGTGGCCCATCAGGAGATAAAAAGAAAAAGAAGAAAAAAGTCGTTAAAGGCAAAGGGTAAGTATTTTTTTTTTAATTAATGATATAATGAAATGATAATTTCGCTTGCGCTTACAGGATACGCTGGCGAGGCACGAATGAAGAATCGATAGGTGAGAATGAAAATGTAGATCAGTTAGCTCATCGTGATAAATACACGTGGAATTCAGTATGATGGTTTCCTGGGGGAACAACATGGAGGTCGATCTGACAGAGTATATTGCTAGCAACAGGACTGGTAGTCCGCATTACTAACAAACTTTTCCCCCCAATAAATATTTTTTTTTTTTTTTTTTGTGGATGAAAATGAAATGGTAACCCCGCCTGCGCTAATGGGATACGCTGGCGGAGCACCAGTGAAGGGTGATCGATGAGAATGAAAATAGGCCAGTTAGCCCATCATGACGAATTCATCAGGAATTAACCATGATAGTTTCCAGGGGGAACCACGAGGAGGTCGACCTGATTGAGTTTATTCCTAGCAATGGGATTTTTAGTCTCCATTACTAACAATCCCTTTCCCCCCTAATAAATAATATTGGTAATACTTAAGTTATTAAGAGATGGTGGATATTAAATATTATGATTCCTCAAAAAGTGTGTATTAACGTTTCTTCAGGGTCAGCATCGCACATGGGACACCCTTAAATTTTCAGGAGTCCATAGGCTACAGTGAATATTTACCATCAGATGGGCTGTATGCTTATTTGCTATCTTCATGATATTAAAGAAGATAGGACAAGATAGAAGAAGTATGATTATAATGTATTTGATATGCTATTTCATATCAGCCATTAACTGTTTATTTCTGAACATAAGCCTCCCCAAAGGTTTGCCAATAATTGACATGCTTATAGGTGGATTGGCAACCTCAGTTAGGCTTTTGATAAGGTTTTTTCATTGCTGCCCGTCCCTCAACCTTTAAATTCCCTTAGTCACCTCTTATAACACCCATGGAAAAGGAATGGGTAGCCCATTCTTTGTTATAGTCACATGGCAATTGGTATGACCAATGTGTTTTCTAATAATTAAATTTAGATTCTAAATATAAGAATGTAAGTCATTAAGTAGAATATGGCATGGTACCCTTTAAATAAAGCTAATACTTTAAAATGTATAAATGATAATTTTTAAAGTATTAGCTTTATTTATAAGTATTTTAAAATTTATCAATGTGTGCTTTAGTTATTCTTAAGTAAATAAGTAGTGTCAATATATACATAGTATAAAAAAAAATACATGTTAATGTATTAAAATAAAACCTGAACATTTAAAAGGATGTGCTTTACAAAATGGTCTTATTACTAATATCAATTACAGACAACTTGCTATGTGTGTTGTTCTTAGCAATTTTTTCTGTATAATTTAATTTTTTATTACTATTTCACACTTTAAATGGCTTAAGTCCTTGGCCAAATGAGACTTTTACTTACTTTCTTTATTTCTTTCATCTCTATGTCAGGTAATAATATTACTTGTATTTTCAGTTTTCGAATCATAGATGATGATCTGGACTTAAATAAATTGAGACCCCTTGATGATGATGAACTGGATATACTCAATGAAGGTGAAGACGGACCGCAAATTGCAGGTATCATTGATGATAGACCTGAGGAGCTAAAGAAATTGGAGCAATTCAAAACCAACTCAAAATGGAGAGTTATCAATCAGGTATATTTTAATTAATAGTTCATACTTTGCTAACTGGGGATTCCATCATGGTTGAAATCTTTGGAATTAAACTAAAATTGTGATAAAAATCTAAATACTTTATAATCTAAATCTTTGTAAACAAAGTGATCTTGTATGTCTGGCCGGAGGACATACCTGCACGCTGGTGCAATGAAGAATTATCTCGTCACTCGTCAGCAAAGTGTTGAAAATAAAGACATATATTTATTTGATTATATTTTAAAGCAGCAGTTTTATCTATTCATAATAATTTAACAAAGTAATTTAATATAATATTAAGTCTCAATAGAATTTATTGAAAAGAAACCAAATTTTATTTAAATTATCATACAAACACTCTCTAAATTAAATCTATTATGGATCGAAATATTCAGATTTTTTTATTTGTATTAAACTATTGGGACATTGGTAGACTATCTACTTATTAATTTGTTTACATTTTCATTAAAATCTATTGAAACGGATGATCATCATATTAGATATTAACTATCCACTGCTGAACATAGACCTCCGCCTATTGGGAGCTTTGCCAGTAATTGCCATGCTTGGCAAATAACATGGCACCTTCAGTTGGCTTTGGTAATGTTGTAATAGGGATGCTGTTGCCCATTCTCAACTATTAAGTTCCTTTAATCACGTCTTACGATATGCACGGGAAATGAAGGGGTGGCCCATTTTACTTCAGGACTACTAGGATAGAAACTGACTATGGTGTGGTAAACTGCAAATAAACTAAATACATATAATATCTTCAATCTATTTTCAATACGTTTCTAAAATGTTTTCAACAATATTTTTCCTTTTCAGGATGATGGTTTCAATAGTAAATTACAAATAGAAGAAATAAAAAGTGATATTAAAGAAACGGAAAAGGAGAATGAGATTATATTTGGAAAAATGTACAGCGACTCTGAGGATGAAAAGAAAAATGATTCAGACCCATCACCTCCAAGGAAATTAAATAACGATGTATCAAAAACTACTTCTTCCTCTAAAAACCGCAAAAATAATAGTGACAGTGACTTTAGTCCACCCAGAAAAGAAAGGGAATCAACATCGAAGAAAAGTAAATCAGAAAATAAAAAAGACTATGATTCTGATCTGTCACCACCTAGAAAACAAAATGTCCAGAACTCAAAAGGTAAAAAACCAAGAAAGCCCAGTAGATGGGGTGATGCTGATGACGATGAAAGAAAAATACAACATAATTCATCAACTAAATCGTCAAAAAGATCTCCATCACCTAAACAATATAGACAACAATCCGATTCAGATGTATCGCAACCTAGGAAACCAGAGAAAAGTGATAAAAGAAGGAACTATGATTCTGACCTTTCGCCACCAAGGAAATCGAGAAAACACTCACCAACACAGAGACATAGATCACCGGATTCTGATATCTCACCTCCGAGAAAACGAAAGCAATCACCTGAAAGACAAAGAAATAATAAACATAGAAATGATGACAAATATAAAAAAATGAAGTCATATAAAGATTCAGATTCTGATTTATCACCACCTAGGAAAAATAGAAGACAAAAATCACCGTCACCACCCAATAAATATAGGAAACATTCACCAGAGAATCGACGTAAAAGAAAAAATAGTGACTCTGATTTGTCTCCTCCGAGAAGAGATAGGAATACTGTGAATGATAAAGTATACAGAAGAACCAGTGACAGTCCACCTCCATCTAATAAAAAAATGGCTAGGACATTAGAAGGGAAAATGGCTGGTTTGCAGAATGCCAAGCAATTGAAAGAAGAAAATGAACAATTCAGGAGGAAAGAAGATGAAGCTTTCAGTAGAATGACTGATGATGTATCAGGAAGGAATGCTCAAGTGGTGTCTAGAAAAAGTAAGCTATTAACTACTAGCTGTACCCCTCGGTTATGCCTGCGTGTATTACTATATAAATTATCTTATGTCTATGTATATGCTAAGTTAGGATATAACCTATCCATGCACCGAATTTTATTCAAATCTATTTTGTAGATTTTTTTATGAAAGAGTAACATTCATCCATCAATAATTTATATTTCTTTTAATTTTATTTTTTATCCATATTTTACAACATGAGAGTTTAAAATCTATTCATCTGTCCATTCTAACTAACTATCGCAATAGTTATATTTTTAGGATTAACTATAGCGGGTTGATTTGAGACATCGAAGTTGGTAGAGAAAGAAACTTTATTTTTACAAAATATACGACAACACCCACACAAGTTAAAAGAGATGACTCCATAAGTATATAATATTTTTCTTTTTTTCCATTTCAATATCTAAAAAAAAATCACACAATAACTTATTTCCTACATCTCAAAAACTGCATAAATTTAATTTGACTCCAGCTAAAAATGTTATTTTTTTACATATGAATTCATTTTATGTTAAAAAAAAAAAAACTAAGATAAAGGTTACAAGAGCAACAAATTATCAATCATATATTAGTATCTTGACTAACATAAAAGAAGATACTGTCAATTAACTATTGCAAAATGCAATATAATTAGAATAACTAAGTGAAATTTTCTTCTTTTCAGGTAAGAGAGAGACTTCTGAAGACAGACAAAAACAAAGGGAAAAAGCTGAAAGACAGAAAGAGCTAGATGAAAAATACAAAAAATGGAGTAAAGGGTGAGTAAGCAGTTGAAAGTGGTATACTTTCAATCAAGTGGTTTCTCAGCTTCTTTGCCCTTCTAAATATAATTAAAGGAGTCATCAACGTCATTTCAGCCATTATCCATCCACTGCTGGATATAGACCGCCATAAAGAACGGTACTGACTCCCCGCAATGCATTTCAGGTCGTCACTCCACCTAGTGTGCGATCGTCCTACACTGCTTTAGCTCGTACGAGGTCGACACTCAAGAACCTTTAAAAAGCATATTTAAAAAAAAGATACACACTTATTTTCAGTTTAAAACAAATTGAGGCACAAGAAGCTCGCGTGCAAGAGTATATGCATGAGGCGTCGAAGCCTCTAGCGCGGCATAAAGATGACCGCGACCTAGAAGACAGTCTGAAGCAAATTGAAAGAGATGGAGATCCAATGCTGCAGTATATAAGGGAGAAGAAGAGAGAGAGGGGAGAGTTAGGTCCAGGTTAGTATAACTAATAAGGCTTGAATTTTTTCATTATACTATATTTCTTATCTTTCCTAAGTCCACATAAAGGGATTTAATAGTTTTTTTAATTATAAAAAAATTTAAGTGGACAAATGCGCCAAAAAAAAATTCTATACAGCACCATCTATCGTTAATAACAATATTATCGAGTGATAAAATGACAGATCAATCAATATCATTATTAGCTTGTCTGTTAATGATAAAATACAAATTGTCTACAGAGAAACCTACATACAAAGGCAATTTCCCGCCAAACCGCTTCAATATAAGGCCAGGGTATCGATGGGACGGAGTGGATAGATCCAATGGGTACGAAAAGAAATTCTTCGACCAGCAGAGCAAGAGGAAAGCGCAAGAGGAAGAGGCGTATAAATGGAGGACTGAAGATTTGTAATATATTTTGTATATACAATTAAATAATTTAGATAATAAATATAATATTTTTTAATACATAGTATTTTTATTATAAAATAAACGGTAACTCCTTTTGGCTGTCGTCGTATGAATGTTTAAGCGACATCACATTAAAAACTGGACAGATACGTCTATTTGTTGTGTATCTATATAATTTTGTATAGTGTACATATGTGTTTACAACCCAAAAAACATATTCAAGCGAAACAAAAAATTAAATATATAATAATACTTTGGCAGCTTGCGCTAATTTAAAATTAATTACAATAGTTTTGAATATTAGATAAAAAATAAATATTAATATTTATAAAAATAGCAATAATGACTTGTATGTTGTATTATATGTATACTTTATTATATAATTTTGTAAATATTAATTTATTAAAATTTGATTTAACTAGATTGTTTATGTATTGTTTAATATTCTAAACACTATTCATTTCACAAATTAAAATAATAATAATAAATCATCCCAATCGTTATGTCGGTGAACGGTCTTATCCCAACCAGTCTGGAACAACATCTCAGACGGTTGGGATTCCGAGGCGGCTCACTCCCGGGAAAGATGCAGAAAGCGGTGCTCTTAGATTCTGCCCGCATTGTACGCCGGTTTCTCTCCCTGGGGCCCTGAACCCCGGCCGACTGTGCTTCTGCCGGGGGTTAGTTGCCATCTCCTCTCCTTAAGAGGGGAGATGAGAATTTTAGTGAAATTTAAAAAAATAATAATCCTAAAACTAGCCGTTTATTAAGAAATTCCTATATGATGTGTTTGAAAATCTTTAACAATATACCTACGGATATAAAGGAACTTCCATTAAATAAATTTAAAATTGTGTTACGTAAATGGTTACTTAGCAAAAGCTTTTACTCTGTTGACGAATTTTTCAAGAAAGAATAGATAAATATCTAATATAGTTGTCGATGCATAAATTAAATTAATCAGTTCCTATCAAAATGTGACATTTGCATGCTATACTGTAATGGCTAAATAGGCACGAAACTTTATGTAATATAAGACCACCGATACCTACCCTATTTAAAGCAAATAAATTTATTATTATTATTTTTTAAATTTCACTAAAATTCTCATCTCCCCTCTTAAGGAGAGGAGATGGCAACTAACCCCCGGCAGAAGCACAGTCGGCCGGGGTTCAGGGCCCCAGGGAGAGAAACCGGCGTACAATGCGGGCAGAATCTAAGAGCACCGCTTTCTGCATCTTTCCCGGAAGTGAACCGCCTCTGAATCCCAACCGTCTGAGATGTTGTTCGAGACTGGTTGGGATAAGACCGTTCACCGACATAACGATTGGGATGATTTCGGTAGATGTCACCCCCCACATTTCGGTCACCTCGTGAGCCAGGTCGAGATATTTTCTCTTCTTCTCGGTTTCGGCTTTCACGAGGTTCTCGTCATGCGGTATGGTGACATCCTTATTATTATTATTATTATACTCATAAAACTAATACATTTGTTTTTGTATTGTAATTAATTTTAAATTAGCGCAAGCTGCCAAAGTATTATTATACATTTTATGGATATAACAACCCAAAAACTAAATGCTAGTTAATAACAAGTAAAAAATTTGACCAGCAAAACTACTTCAATCACTAAATGTATACAGTTATCGCACAAAGAATAATGGTATTTTCAGTCGAAAAAATAAAACTAATATAGTAGCTCTATATTACACGGGAGTAAACCCTATTGATTGTAAAATAATTATGACAATTGGTTCAGAGTTGATGACATAATTGCATATAAAAATAATCGTAAAATTGATACAAAATCTTTTTTTTTTAATAATAATAATAAAATCATTTATTAAGCTACAAAACGACAATATGAAAAAAATATGATAAAAATGTATTTTAATGTAATAACAACTTTATACATTAAAATACATTTTTATCAGAGGGAGACTTTGTACAAAAGTCGATTGCTTGGGTGCCTCTGTCCCATTCGTGTTTCAACCGTGAAGCAGTTGTGTTTGCACGGCTGTGTTTCGGTTTGAAGGGTGAGATATGGGGTGAATTTACTAGAACAGAGGAATAACACCTGAGTCCTCAGGAATAGCAACGCATGGGGGGTATCATGGGCGAAACAGTATACTCTGTTATGTCCATGGTACTGCTCATGTCTATAGGCGACGGTTACCACTTTCCATCAGGTGGGCCTTCAGCTTGTTTGCCATTCTACGTTGTATAAAAAAAATAATAATTATGCGGTAGCAACTAAAATGATCCCCACTCAGCGTAAGCTGCAGCTTGGTGATGCAGCGCTGATTTTCAGTGGGGCCACCACTCGAGAAACTGGATTAAATTTATGATACACTATTAACTGGACCTCATAGAAATACCAATATTATATATAAATATATATATATATAAATATAATAATATTTATTGTATAACATATATGTTATAATGAAGAATTTTTCAAAGTCATGTAATAATAAGTCGGTTTCCCCCAGACATTACTGTGTGAGGTTCTAAAAGGACAATAAAATTTCTTAGAGATCGGCAACGGGCACGTGACAGCCCTGATGTTATAGGCATCCATAAGATAGTAACTGTTTAACATTGGGGGAAAGGGATTGTTAGTAATGGAGACTGAGAATCCTATTGCTAGCAATATACCCAACCAGGTCGACCTCCTCGCCGTTCTCCCTGGAAACTATTATGGTTAATTCTTGATGAATTCATCATGTTGGGCTAACTGGCCTGTTTTCATTTTCATCTATCACTCTTCACTGGTGCTCCGCCAGCATATCCCGTTAGCGCAGGCGGGGTTATCATACCATTTTCACCCATCAAAAAAACCGTTTATCATTAGAAGGGCCGTACGCTTGTTTACCATCACAGTAATATAAAAAAAAAATTAAAATACTGAGTGCTAGGGATTTCAAATAAAAGACGTTTTATTTCAAGAATTTTATATTATATCTATTAAAAAAGTTTGCAATTGCTTTTATGTAGGAATATCGATTACTGTAAAAGTAACAATGGGGCCCATTTCTCTAAATCTAAAATTTCAATTTATATATGACAGTACACAAAATCTTTATTCTAAGAACCAATATTAACTAAATTTCAAATTGATTTAAATCAAATCTTTTAAATATTAATTCATTTATACTTTATTGTACACAAAAAAAAAACATTGTTATACTTATTTTGAATGAAGATGTAAAACAAGCGAGTTTAACTCTATAAGAGTTCTCTTCCAAAAAAAATTTTGTTTATGATAGTTTATAAATCAGTACTTTCTCGAAACTATCAAAAGTAGAGAAATAAATTTAGAGAATCGACGACCCCACCGTTCATTTGCTATAATTTTCACTAAATACTTCATTTATTTTGCTATATAATGACAACTTTGTTAAGATTTATATTATATATATATAAACTAGTTATAAAAATTACCCCATCTTTCAAGTTGAAGCAAATTATACACATTTACAAAATTTCATTTCATTTCATCAACGATAATGGTCAGATTTTAAATTTGAAAATTTGTAAAGGTATTCAGTAAGAGTCTTCCTTAATTAACACTCAGTGGACACGATGCAAAGTGACAGTCACAGAAGTTAGTAGAGATTTCGACTGATCGCTTCGATTGGCTTGAGTCATGCAACACGTTTTGAAATATTAACAAATCTTTTGGCTACAATATTGGAATTGGGATATTGCGTTATTTTAAACTCTATTATCTCAGCTTTGACATTGCTTATGGCGTTGTTTATTAGGCACTTAAAGTAGCAATATAAAGAGTAATAATAAACAGTGGTTGCTACTGGTCTAAACAAAGTTACTCGGCCCCTTTGCGAGGAGTATGCCTTAAATTAATGAATAGGTCCAATAACTTGTCGAAAAAAAGGAAGTAGCAAAGCAGAAGTGCATTTTAAATATTTACATACTAATAATTTAATATTAAACATTGAAAATTATATGTTTTGGTAATTTTGTTAGATGTTTAGCTTAAATCGCTTATTTACGTCGCCAGACAATAATACAATAAATATTATGCAACACATACAATAGCGTACTAGAGATAGCAAATAAATAAGTTGCCATTATATTAATACCGTGTCGTTCATAAAAACACCGAACAACTAACGAATCTATATTAAGAAGTATTTTCACCTTCTTTCTAGCCAATATGTTAAATTAAAAATATTTATATTTTTATACAAACTATCAATACTTATATATGTAAGTATTAATAGTAATATATATACATGTATGTATGTATAATATAGGTAACATGAGTATTATGTTTTTTTACTAATTTAGTATTATTTTTGTTTTTTCTATTCCTTTACACATCACGTTGCACCGTCAATTATATTTACATTATTCCTGTCTACAGTTGACTGGTAGATAACGCCAGATGGCGTTAAGTCCGCCATTTACACTTTTAGAATAATAGAAAATTTAATTTAATGTTCCTACTGTAATTTTAACAAAACTTGGATATCGTTACATTGAAACATTGTAAATTGGATGCTCCGTTTTTATGAACAACACGGGTGGTTATCAGTTATCTGATATTATGTCGGCTATAACTCATTAGAGCATTAATACAGTCAACAAAACTGGTTTTCTATCAGCGACGTCCTCTGTAGCCCCCTCTACCGCGTCGATCCCGGTCGTCATGCTCGTTCTGGTAGTAGCCTTGGTTTTGGTAACCTTTACTTTGACCTTGGCTGTAACCTTGGGTTTGGTAGCCTTGATTCTGGTAGCCCTTGTTGTAGCCACCGCCGCTGGCTCCTGTAAAATGTATAATCATCGTCATCATCATATCAGCCCTTAACGGTCCACTGTTGAACATAAGCCTCCCCTTTGGGGGTTTTGTCAATTGTTGCCAAGCTTGACAGGCGAACTGGTAACTACAGTTACCCTTACTTTTGGGGGGAAAGGGATTGTTAGTAATGGAGACTGAGAATCCTATTACTAGGAATATACCCAACCAGGTCGACCTCCTCGCGGTTTCCCCTGGAAACTATCATGGTTAATTCCTGATGAATTCATCATGATGGGCTAACTGGCCTGTTTTCATCCTCATCTATCACCCTTCACTGGTGCTCCGCCAGCGTATCCCGTTAGCGCAGGCAGGGTTACTATTCCATTCTCACCCGTCAAGAAAAAAACAAAAAACTGCAGTTACTGTAGGCTTTAGAGATGTTTGAAGAGGGATGCTGCTGCCCATCTCTCGCCTCTTACGACACCCACGGGAAAAGAAAGGGGCGGTCTATTCTATGCTGGGACCACACGGACGAAAATGTAAAATGATACAATAAAAACTAAATTTTTTTACAAAATATAATCCTATTTTTTTACTACTGTCCCATACTGTTTTAACATCACTGTAGCTTCGTAGCCATGGCTGTTATGTTGTTCCCATTAGTAAAACAAACCTTGATTATACTGGTTGTAACTGCCCATACTGTCGTAACCAGCTTGGTTATTGTAACCGTGGCCGTTGTTCCTGTCGTATTGATTGTAACCGCCGGGCGGCACTTCGTACGTTTGGTAGTTCCGCGAATTCTGGTTGTAACCCGCTGGACTCGTCTGAGGTCTGTGGATCAAATAATGAAATAATTAAAACATAAGTAGAAAAAAGTATAAAGTAACAAATTGCGGTACAATTAAATATGTGAGACCTATTCTGTGAGAAACTGGTGACTGCAGGTTTTGAAAAACCTGTTGGTAATTTAATACGATCAACTTGTGTTTTAAGTTTTTTTTTTTTTTATTTTGTTCATAGAATACATTGTAAGGTTTTTTTTTAATACGACTTAGAATGGCAAACAAGCTGACGGCCAACCTGATGGGAAGTGGTAACCGTCGCCTATAGACATGAGCAGTACCATGGACATAACAGTACACACACATACTGTTTCGCCCATGTACCCCCCATGCGTTGCCATTCCTGAGGACTCAGGTGTTATTCCTCTGTACCCTATAAATTCACGCCATATCCTACCCTTCAAACCGAAACACAGCCATGTAAACACAACTGCTTCACGGTAGAAACACGAATGAGACAGAGGTACCCAAGCAAAAAAAAACCGACATCAATTGTGACAAAACCAGTTATTTTGATATAAAAACTAAACTAAAGAATGAATTTTGATAAAATTTCTAATGGACAAATCTGTAAGTATATCACATTTACAGTTTTCATTATGGAAACCGAGAATTATTTACCGCCACATTTGTATAGAAAAAAATATTCTTCTTATACTAAACAACCTATATATATAAAGAACGAACCTGCCCTGATCGCCAGACGCCTGACTGTACCCGCCTTGTACGCGTCCACCGCCGCGCCCTCCTCGGCCTCCGCCACGGCCGCCACCGCCTCCGCCATAACCGCCCCCGCCGCCGCCAAAACCGCCGCCGCCGCCGCCGCCGCCGCCACCGCCACCGCCACCGCCAAAACCACCGCCGCTACTGCCACCGCGAGCGGCTTGGCCACCGCCGCGTCCGCCCTGGTTAAAATTAAATTAAACAATTTACTTGTATTTTAAAAATATTTTTTTCTAATTCAATTTTTGGTATTGGATGTATATATATATATATATATATGTGTGTGTGTGTGTGTGTGTGTGTGTGTGTGTGTGTATATATATATATATATATATATATATATATATATATATATATATATATATATATATATGTGTCAATATAAATGTCGACATAAAAAAATGTTTTAAAAAGAATTAATAAAAAAGGACATAGGCCACTTTTATCTTACTCAATGAGTAGAGGTGACATTTGCCTAAACCTATCTCTAAATCTTGTGACCAACGATTGCCTATTTGATTTATTTCTTCTGCTTTTCCTTTAACAATTGTCAACTAAATAATCTACGAAATTAATTTAGAAAAACCTGTTATTGGCCATACTACTTTGTTATGTAAATGTTTGTTAATTTTATTCGTAAACCGCAGTTGGTTTTTTAAAATAAATAAATAATCAATTTGACTTAATTTTTTTTTTAATGGATGATAATGGAATGGTAACCCCACCCGCTCTATCGGTATACACCGGCGGGGCACCAGTGAAGGATGATAGGTGAGGATGAAGTAGGTCAGTTAGCCCATCGTGACGAATTCAACAAGAATTGTTCACGATGGTTCCCAGGGGGAACCATGTGGAGGTCGACCTAATAGGGTGCATTGCTAGCAATGGGGCTGTCAAACTCCATTGCTAACAATCCCTTCCCCCACTTAAATCTATCCGAAATTTAGTTCTTATTCATATTATTTATAAAAAAAATTTTGTTATGATATCAAATTGAAATTTCAAATTTAAAGATAGCTTTAGAGAAATGACGTCTCAGAGTCGGCCCCAATATGACCCGACACAGTCACATAGACGAAGTCGGAGGTAAAAACTAATACATACTTGTGGCGCGGATCTCTGCTGCCACGAGGGCATCTCCGGTGGCGGTGGCTGCTGTTCGTTGGGACGGCCGCCTCTGTCTGGTACCTGGAATGATATTTATAATATTATAACTTAATGGTCGAGGGATGGGCAGCAGCGTTCCTCTTAAAATATCACCAAAAACTAAGTATGATTGCCAACCCGTCTGCTAAGCGTGGCAACTACTGGCAGAACCCCGCAATACAGTGAGACCTATGTTCAACAGTGGACAGTCAACGGCTGATCAGATCATGTGCGGCGGAGTTTACCAGTAATGTGGACTACCAGTCACATTGTTAGCAATATATATATATATATATATATATATATATATATTTATATATACCCTGTCAGGTCGACCATCACGCGGTCCCTCCTGGAAGCCATCGTGCTGAATTCCTGGTGTATTCATCATGACGAGCTAACCTGCCTTTTCATTTTACCTATCATCTTTCACTGGTGCCCCGCCAGCGTATACCGTTAACGCAGGCTACCACAACATTGTCATGATGAATATAATAAAAGCGAAAGTGAGTTTGTTTGTTTATTATGCTTTCTAATCCTGTGAATCCATTATGATGGATTTTGGTATATATAGATAAGATCCTGGAGACAGTTACAGGCTACTTTTTCTCCGGGTCAGTGAACATATCTCGGTAAAGCGGACGAAGACGTGAGTTTAAACTAGTATGATGGAAAATGGACATACCATTTTCCATCAGGTGGGCCGTCAGCTTGTTTGCCATTCTAAGTTGCATAAAAAAAAGTATATAATATTTATAATAAAGTAGGCAATTGTTACGTTATTTAAGAGTCGACACTTCCCTTAAACTAATGATACTGGACAACGAATCTATGCAACCATTTAGAAACATGAATAAAATAAACGAACCGTGACAACTATTTATGTTTTTGTGCAAAATATTGATATCATAAAAGATCTTTAACTAAATCAAACCTACATGAGAGTAAACTGTTAAACCCTGTTTTATAATTCCTTTGCAGAATTATAAAAAACTATTGACAGTTGCATAACACAGTTGCAATAAAGAAATTCGGACTGATCGAGAACTTCCTACTTTTGACCCGTGTACAGAGATTTTGGGAGACTTTGTACAAAAATCGATTGCTTGGTACCCAAGTTGTTCCATTCATGTTTCTACCGTGAAGCAGTTGTGTTTGCATGGCTGTGTTTCGGTTTGAAGGGTGGGATATGGCGTGAATTTACAGGGTACAGAGGAATAACACCTGAGTCCTCAGGAATGGCAACGCATGGGGGTATCATGGACGAAACAGTATACTCTGTTATGTCCACGGTACTGCTCATGTCTATAGGCAACGGTTACCACTTTCCATCAGGTGAACTTCTTTGGCATTCTAAGTTGTATAAAAAAAAAAAGATTTTAAGAGCATCGATATGAGACAAAAATGTAAGTGGATATGGGTGGAGAGTACAAACCCTGCTAGGCAGGGATATATTCGAGTCAAGGTCTAGTTGATGTCCGTGAGGGATGGATCTAAGCAGGGTCGAGTCCGAGTCAAAGTTGACTTGACGTCCGTAAGGGATTGGTAGAACACGCCCACTCCAGAATTAGCTGGCCAAACCCATAATACCAGCAGAACTTTCACTTACATACGTGCCATTAAAAAAAAACAATCTTAAATACGCTAATTCTCCACTCACTTGTCCGATGATAACTTTGTTGACATCAGTCTGGGTGTTCTTCCGTACACTAGCGCTGGATGTCTTTTCCACTTGGAGAAGCGTAGTCCTTGCGGCGAGGAAATCTGATAACTTCACGTCGGGTTTTACTTTGAGGAGCTCCCGCTTTGGACGGTACGTCGATTGTATGTGATCCTTCTTGGTCTTCAAACGGTCAGACCACTGGGTATAAAATAATTTAATAAGATATATTTAATACAGATATGTCTGTAATTATTTATCTACATTTTTCAATGAGTTTTACTGCATAAATACATTTCTGTTTTTCTAAAGGTTAGCTGGCTTTAATTAGCTAATATAAATTTATTTAGTTTTAATTAGCTAAATAAACTATATTTAGCTAATTAAACTTTGTTTTAGCTAATTAAATTAAAAAAAGTAATTAGCTGAAACAAAGTTCGCCTTTTGTACCATACTTTTTTTTTTGTAATGCGGTCAATAAGGAATCCTTACTAATATTATAAATGAGAAAGTGAATTTGTTTGTTACCTTATAGCACCTTAACGTCTTAACCGATCACTATAAAATTTAATATACACATACTACATGGGATGCAGGTTATAGGCTACTTTTTATCGAGGTCAATGAACATACTCCGGTTACGTGAACGAAGTCGCGGGTAAAAACTAGTAAATAAAACCATGTCCATTATGTTTCGCGAGTTTATCTCACAGGCAGTGAATTTACAGGGTACAAAGGGATAACACTTGAGTCCTCAGGAATAGCAACGCATTACGGGTATCATGGGCGAAACAGTATACTCTGTTATGTCTATGGTACTGCTCATGACTATAGGCGACGGTTACCACTTTCCATCAGGTGGGCCGTCAGCTTGTTTGCCATTCTAAGTTACATAAAAAAATATCTTTCAAAATTTCAATTCCACGTCTCTCTCTCTCTTCTTTCTTGAAATCTCTTGGGGCGCCTGCCCCCCCCCCCCCTTCTTAGATAGATAAGATTTACGCATGACATTTTAGTTTTTTATACATATTACTTTCTGGAATATCTTTACTGCTATCAATTTTCGTGAATTGGGATTAGATAACTCGTCCAGGCTAAATTTACTATCGCTTGAAATGATTGCGCATTTAATGTACAGACATGATCACACCAGCCTTCAAATCGAAGCAGCCCATTTCAAATTTTGCTTCATTTGTATTGTTGTTATCTTATTTCTCTATGTAGTTGGAATCTAGCAGTGGAATTACGGAGTGTGGAGGTTTAATACTTAAAAATAGCAACACAGGAGGCGTACCATAGACGTGACAGTACATGTTGTCTATGGTGCTGTTCATTTCTATAGGCGACGATTACGACTATCCATCAGGTTGGACTTGGCTTGTTTACCATTATATTTTCTATAAAAAATGTGTATATAACAAGAATAAAATAAAAAATAACATTAGAGATCATTTATTCCTGCCTGTATCTTTTTTTTTTATTGTCAAGGGACAAACGAACTGACGTCCACCTGATGAAAAGCGGATGCCATGGCCCATGACCACTTGCAACACGAGAGTTGCTTGTCCGTTACCGGCCTTTATCTGAATGAGACTTCTCAAGATTCTATCGTAGTTCTCTCATTGACTGGTCCCTAAGGAGTCTGGCATAATGATATTTTATTTTTTAAACAATATCAGACCTCAAAGCTCTGTATAGTGCACTCGAGTCTGGTGATGAGTGTTTCTCTTCTCAAACGGTACTCTTCGAACATTTCTGTATAATCCGTCTCTAATTTCTTCCAGTCTTTGTCTGTCAATGCTTTGTTGTATAATGGCTTGCCGACTAGTTGGTTACCTTAAAATAATTAAAAAAATATATATAAATATTATTATTATGAAAACCTCCGTAGGGAAGTGGTGGACGCATCGCTTTAACAAGGTCCCGGATTCCATTCCCGGTTGTGCTAATTTAGGAATATAACTTTATTAAATTGGTATAAATCTGGGTGTTCTGAGTAGTAATCGATATTAATTACCTATTTCCTCACAAAACAAGGTATTCTAGCTTGAAGACTATACATTGGTATTATTACCGACTCTTTTAAAAAAAAAATTGTCATATAAATACAGTGAACACTCTATATAAGCAACCTCTCTATAAGCAACATTCTTCATATTTTATTTATTCTACTCAGCTTAGTAAAAGGAATAAGTAAAAATAGTTTTCCGACGGTAAAGTATTTTTATACTCCTTTTTTCCTATAAGCAACTTTTCCCAATAAGATTTTTTTATTGAACTTGGTTCAAATGAGTTGCTTATATAGAGTGTTCACTGTATTAAGATTTTTTAAGTAACAAGTGCATTTTGATCCGCAACAGAAAACTACTACAATAGTAAACACACACACACATACACACCTAAATATACGTAATGTATAATATATGTAAATTTCTCATATTGTTAAAAATTTACACGCCGACATAGAGGCCGAATGTATACAGGAAATGTAAACCAGCTTCATCTAAAATTACCTACATTCTAGCAAAATAAATTAATTTCATTTTATTTCATTGTAGTAGAAGAAAGACCCATTTAAGTAATTTCTAAAAAAAAAAAAACAATCATACAAACCTTCCTTCTGTATGGTGTCCTTCAGTTTTGACTCCAATTTAGAAAACAACATCTCGGCCGTGATGTTTGGAGGTGGTTTGTTAAATTTAAGAGAGATCAATATTTCCTTCAGATCCTTGGCTGTTGGAGACTCTTGCTGAAATAATGGAATATTTAACACGTTGTAAACAATATCTAAACATGACAGTAATGGAGGAAGGGATCGTTAGTAATGCAGATTGCCAGCCCCATTTTTTTTTATTCAACTTAGAATGGCAAACAAGTTGACGGCCCACCTGATGGAAAGTGGTAACCGTCGCCTATAGACATGAGCAGTACCATGGACATAACAGTGTATACTGTTTCACCCATGATACCCCCCATGCGTTGCCATTCCTGAGGACTCAGGTGTTATTCCTCTGTACCCAGTAAATTCACGCCATATCCCACCCTTCAAACCGAAACACAGCCATGCAATCACAACTGCTTCTCGGTTGAAACACGAATAGGACAGAGGTACCCAAGCAATCGATTTTTGTAAAAAGTCTCCCTCTGGTACATTGCTAGCAATAAACCTCATCAGGTTGACCTTCATGTGATTATCCATGGAAACCATCATGCTGAATTCCAGATCTATTCATCAGGATAGATCAACTGACCTGCTTTCATCCTCACCTACCATCACTCACTAGTGCTCCGCCAGCATATACCAGTAGCGCAGACGGGGTTACCATTCCATTACCACGCATTGAAGAAAAAAATCAGGCAGGCTTGCCAGTCCAAATGTCATAAATTTAATACAGATTACATATGACTCAGGTGAAACACACAGTGTTTATTTATTTATTTATCTACATTTAACTCACCATAACAATTTCCATTGTAGAGTTTTTCTTCTCGTTGGGACAGTCAGTGGCTACCATTCTAGCTGCCATCAGTTCTGATATCATATAGTCTAATAAGAGTAGCCTATCCTCCTTTGACTGGAGGCGGGAGGACATGTGACCTGGAGGTAATAAATAGTAAAACTATTTAAAACTAGCTGTATCCCGCGGCTTGATCCGCGTGAATTAATATATAAAGTGATACTTTATATACTAATTCACGCAGATATATTCTAAGTTAGGATATAACCTAACCATGCACCAAATTGTATTCAATTCTGTTCAGCAGTTTTTTCTGTATGAAAGAGTAACAGAAATTTATCCATCGAATCATCATTACAAACTTCGAGTTTATAATATTATTTATTAATTATTAGAGGAACCCTATTTCTAAGATAAGTAGACAGATATATATATATATATATATATATATATATATATATATATATATATATATATATATATATATATATATATATATATATATATAAGGCCGCCTTTTGTATCACTTCCCAATCACTTGGTGCTTTTTAATAAAATGTAAATAAATAAATATTTGTTTTTTTTTTGCAATACTTACAAACTTACTATTACGAAAATAATAAATATACAAAAACAAAAACGGAAAGTACATAAAAGAAATAATGTAAATTTATTTATATTTCGTGCGTGCGCCTCAGTAATATAAAATAGACATAACTCAGATTATTGCTTTGCTCTCAAAAACACTGATATTCTGCTGTAACCAAAAATAAGGTGTTGTAGTAATCTTGGTAGATAAAAAATGTATCTCACTATAAATTTTTGTATATACATATTATATGGGATTGTGAAGGTAATCAGTGAGTGAATATATCCAGGGCATGCATATAAAATTCGCATTTAAAAGCCAGTAACACATAAATACAGTACAAAAGTTTATATAAACGTTGTCTGTCTGTATAGCTGTTACTTATGTTTCTACAAAGTACCAATGGTTGCATAGCTATCAGTTTCAAGGGTGAGAAATTGCAGGATGTGATGGTATTACAGCTTAGATCTCATGAATAACATTGCATAAGACTGAAGGGCACCATGGGATCACAATGGGTTCTATGAGGTCCATAGTACCAGTTCTTAGATAGTACATTAATAGGAGGAGCCTCATTGCAATATACCCTGTCAGGTTAACCTCTAAATCTGGAAACCACACCCAGGAAAACATAGTGATTAATTCCTAATGAATTTATCAAGATGGGCCAAACAATTTGCTTCATGCTTACTTATTTATTTATTTAAACTTTAATGCACAGTAAAATTCTATTTACATTTGGCAGACTTATCATCAGACAGTGTTCTCTACCAATCAACCATTGGGTAAACTGAGAAATATGTAGGAGGTGCATTTTTGAATAGAGAAAAAAAATAAAGCAATATTAGATAAATTCATATAATATAAACATACACATAATATTTTGAATAAATACATACATACATAAAATATATAAAACAATTAAATAAAACAACTGCAATAGAAGAGCAAATTGTAATCTATGACTCAAACAGAGTACCAGCAGGAGAAGCTTAACCTTTTAAGCTGTGATCACTTAACATCAGATTTGACACTATATTTGTATACAGATAGTGCAGGCAGGATCATCATTCCATTAACATCTCATAAAAAAAAGTACTGTTAATTAACACTTAATATTAGGTGGGCCATCTGCTTATTTATTATGTCCCAGCAAAAAAGGATGAATTGAAAATTTATCATATATTTATAAATGCAAATTACTATGCACTGTGGCTCATAACCATCTAACTGTAATGGTGTGAATGATGTCTAGTGTTGCTAGCAGTTTTAAGGCTATTGTGATCGTTTATCATCATAGGATACTCTTAATAGCTTTCTAAATGAAGTGAAAAACAAATTTGTACCTGTAACCAATGCCTTATATGGACAGCCAAGCTCCTTCAGGAACGAACTCAGCTCAAGCAAGAAAGACGCTGACTCATCAGCATCATTCATCACATTTATGGTTTCCTCCAGGTTACAGAGTTTCTTTAGCTCCTCCGCCAAGATGTGGATGAGTTTGGTGAATTCGAGGGATTTGGGGCCACCATCAAGGGCCTTCGAGAAGGCCACCTCATTAAGAAGTGGGCCCTCATAACTGTTTAAAAATTATGTCATTAAAATAAAAATCAGACCCCTATTTTTTTCAAATATTTGCAATTTCAAGTGTATTAATTAGCCTGGCCCAAGTTACAGGGGGAAGGGGTTGTTAGAAATGTGAACTACCAGTCCCATTGCTAGCAATATACCCTGTCAAACTATACATGGCCCCCTGGAAACCATCATGCTGAATTCCAGGTGTATTCATCACAATGGGCTAATCTGCCTTTTCATTATCATTGCTTCTCAGCCTTTTCACTAAGATCAAGATGCCTTTTCATTCTCACCTATCATTCCTCATTCCTTGCTGTATACCATTAGCACAGGTGAAGCCTTTTTTATCACCCAAAAAAAACCCCAAATTACAAGTTATGTTCATACCTATTATTATGTAGTGCCATTGGTATACATTCAAGTTGTTCTTTTTTTGAGATATTTTTTTATTTACTTTTTGGTAAAATATTTTTTTTTGATGGTACAAGAAATATTTTTTGAGACCCTATTAATAAATACTAACATTAGTTTTAAAGAATGGGTTACAATAATGAATATACTATATAACAATTAGAATTATTAATGTAATAAGACATCATAGTTGAGCCCTATAATGCATTAATCACACTTAGCTAGTGAGGGGCAGTGGTCCCACTAACCCAAATCTAATGAAGTTCAAATATGTAAAAACAAAGAACTATTCAATAGGAAAACTGTCAAATATAGCTATTGGACTATAAAGAAAAAGTGTACATTTCCAAAATTTTATTTAAATCACAAAAATATGTTTTCTTTCTCTGTGGTACAATAATTTTCTAGAATAGAATACAATACTTTACTTGCTTAAAATAGGTAATGACAAAGTTCAATAAACACTTTCATATTGAGCCAATATTAAGCATGCAAATTATAATTTGTCTTTTTTTTTCAATTCTAGAACTATAAGTTTGTAAAAGATTAGAAAAAAAACGGCTATATTCACTTAGTTTAGTGTTTTATAGATATTTATGCTAAGTAATAGTAATTTCTGGATATTTTTTGTCCAAATAAAACACAAAATTCTAGAAATACCGCTACTTACAGCTGTTCGTTATAACCTAAATTATTTACTGAATAACCTATTAGAATTAAAGATGTGTCAAGAAATAAAACCTAAACATCTATTTAAAATACTTTTTTTATAAAAATTACCACCTTTATGAAGAAATATCAACAGAAAATGTATTAGAAAAAATATGCACTTGATTAAAGAATTAAAAAAAAAATAAACTTACCCCAAATCGTTTAAACCGTCTAATATATCGTTCTCCATATTGTACTTAGATTGGTATCATTCGAAATAAATATTTGTATATTTAATTAATATCTAGCCGGTCACAATAATTTAGAAATTAGAAAATTCTTCTGTACACGCCAACTAACGCCATAGTCATCAGTGTTACCAACATTTGGACATTTTCCCCCCTAAATTATGAAAGAAACTAAAAATTCGATGTACCTGTGTCGAAAATTTAGTTTTAGTACGTTCTTATAAAACTATATATGATGTATAATTTATTTATAATAACTAAAGTAATTATTTAATAATATATAACAATACAGCTATTCATAAATTTTAATAAATATCTATTTATAATATTCTAATTTGTTAACATTTTCATAATAATATAAATCCATATGTTTTGTATTAAACTTTAACAGAAAGTCATAGAAAACAATTAAGCACTAATTATTTTACACTTTAACTGAATAAGTAGATACTCGCAGAAAATTAATATTCAATCATCATTTCAGCCATTATCCGTCTACTGCTGAACATAAGCCTCCCCCATAGACTGCCATAAATATTTAATAATGTAATATAATAAATTTTTATTACAATTTCAAATACAAGTCAATGGAAATATCCAATTATTGTCTAAAAATTTGTATTTTTCTCGAAATACCCGGGAATCATTATTGCATCCTGAATTTATTGGGAATCCTGTATATGTAGCAACATTGGCTGTATCTGACGTTATTCCAGGACTGACGTTTTCAAGCTGTCATCTTAATTCAAACGTCAATCTAGAATAAATCTGTACTTATAATAAAATACATACTTGGTAATTTTTTCATTTTTAACGTCCTATGAGTTGGGTTTAATCCAGCTATCTACACATTCTGACTGATCAATTAAGTTATCTTATATTTTTACAGAAAAGAAATATATTTATGACTATAAACAAGCGTCGATTATGTCGAAATCTACTATGACTGTTACCGGCGTTTTCCAGCACCACTGATAAAAATTAACGCTCAAAATATTGTAAGATGTTGACATTATGAAATTTATTCTTATAAGAAATCTACCCACAAAAAAGTTTGGAACGTACTTACATATTATATAGGAACACTGACTTTGGGATCCATTATTGAGAAAAAATGACGAATATTAAGATGCATAGAGAAGTAAAAAGGTTATTTCTTATTCCTAAACTAGCGGCCCGTCCCGGCGTCGCACGGGTGAACATTTTTACATTTTAAAAAGTGGCCATTAAGGCTGCATACGCGAATAAAAATGAAGTAACTTCTCCCGTTTTCCCAACATTCCCCTTCACTGCTCTGCTCCTAATGATCGTAGCGTGATGAAAAGTATACTATTACCTGCCCAGGAGTATGAAGAATAATTGTACCAAGTTTGGTTAAAATCCGTCCAGTAGTTTTTGTTTCTATAACGAACATACAGACAGAAAGACAAAAATTTCACTGATTGCATTTTTAGCATCAGTATCGATCACTAATCACCCCCTGATAGTTATTTTGGAAATATTTATGTACAGAATTGACCTCTCTACAGATTTATTATAAGTATAGATAAATATTCTTTAGCAGGAGATAGGTGATTTATCATTGAAAGCATTTAGTTGGCGGCGCAAATTGTTGCATAACATTTTTTTTTTATTTTTTGTACAAGCTTTTACCCGCGACTTCGTGTGACCGGAGTACGTTCATTAATCGGGATAAAAAGTAGCTTATAACCTCCGTACGCACATGTATAGCATATAGTGCATACCAAATTTCATAGAATTTGGTTAAGCCGTTGAGGCGCTGACAGGTTACAAACAAACTCACTCATATTTATTATACTAGTAAAGATTGCAATAAGACAAATGAGCTTGCTTGGGCGCTTCTGTCCCATTCGTGTTTCTACCGTGAAGCAGTTGTGTTTGCATGGCTGTGTTTCGGTTTGAAGGGTGGGATATGGCGTGAATTTACAGGGTACAGAGGAATAAAACCTAAGTCCTCAGGAATGGCAACGCATGGGGGGTACCATGGGCGAAACAGTATACTCTGTTATGTCCATGGTACTGCTCATGTCTATAGGCGACGTTTACCACTTCCCACCAGGTGGGCCGTCAGCTTGTTTGCCATTCTAAGTTGCATAAAAAAGAAACAGACGAATCCATTTTTATAATTTTGATAACTCATTTTGCAACCCATAGGGTATCTCTTTATTTGTTTAGCACATATATCGAAGCATTGAAGCCACGACCGTTCTCTTTTAAGATACTTAAATAAAATTTAAATAAAATCTAAATTTCATTTTTCATTTATGATAAGAAATAGCAGATCACAATGTAAAACTCATTCTTATACATATATATATCTTATATACTACCAGGTGGGCCGGCAGCTTATTTGCCATTCTGCGTTGTATAAAAAAAAAATTCGTGCGGACGAAGCCGCGGGATACAGCTAGTTTTATAAATGTGATAGTTTATAAAGATGGATGTATGAATGTATGGCGGATTGGTAACCGCAGTTTGGCTTTTGGTGACGTTTTGAGAGGTTGCTGCCTATCTCTCTACTATTAAGTTCCCTTAGTCACCTCTTACGACACCTACAGGAAAGGAAGGGGTGGCTTATTCTATGCCGGGACCACACGGCTATGTAATATAATATTTTTTTTTGATAGGCGAAAATGAAATGGTTACTCCGCCTGCGCTAACGGTTTACGCTGGCGGGGCACCAGTGAGGGATGATTGGTGAGGATGAAAAGGCAGGTCAGTTAGCCCATCGTGATGAATACACTTGGAATTCAGCACGATGGTTTCCACGGGGAGGTCGACCTGTTAGGGTATATTGTTAGCAATGGAACTGATAATCCGCATTACTAACAATCCCTTCCCCCCAATTGCATATTGTTATTAAATTAATATTCAAATTTATTTAATTTTAATAAAAATAAAAATAAAGAAACAACTCTTTATAATATGAATATTAAAACTTGAAAGTTGGCCGACATTGACATTTGAATTTTGTATGACCTCCATCTTTACAATTAATTACATAATTACGTAGTTTAAAAATATTTATGTCTTATATACATATAAATATATTTTTATTATTTATGAATATTTATATTATCTTTGAATTGTATGTGTTTTTTACTGGATTTAAGGACAATTCAACGTGAACACCGTGTGAGCATGGGGGAAGGAATTGTTAGTAAGGGTATTAGCAGTCCAATGGTAGCGTATACCCTGTTTTGTCGATGTCCATGTGGTCCCTTTTGGAAAATGATAAATTGTTGATGAATTCGTCACGATGGGCCAACTGATCTGCTCCTATTTACATCTACCATCCATTACTGGTGTCCCACCAGCGTAAATCAGATGACTTCTATGCCATCAGACGCAAACGGATCGCATCTCTTTTATACCGACTGCGTGGCAGCAGTAACGGCATTCTGTAGGCATTGTGTAATAAATACGATAGCCCGATCCTGTCGTTGTGGGTCAAAATTATTATAGAAGCCATAAAATGATTTTTGTATTTTTTTTTCTACTAACATAGTTTAAGTCAATTGTTACTAACAAAAATGGATCTTTGTAATCTATTATAAAGAAGTATTATTATTATTATTAAATCGATATTGCAAGCGGGGTTAGGATTCCTTGGTCATCCATTAAAAAAAAAGCATATTTTGGAACGCGCTTCCTGATGCCATTAAGAGACTACCGACTAAACCGTCTTTCAAAAAAAAAGCGTTCACGCTCACTTTTTATCTTTATCCGAGCAGTAGGTGCTTTATATTATTCCCAAATTCGTGTATAATATAGTATACATCATATATGTGTAAGTATATTTGTTATTCATATATATTTATTCGTTTATATATGTAATTTTAGTATGTATGTATATCAATAATTAGTATTACCGCATTCGAGTATTCTGACACTGCCCTATGGTTGACTGGGAGAGAATGCTTTTAGCATTAAGTCCGCCATGTACACATGAATAAATAAATAAAAAAAATTATGGATTGTAGAGCTTTAGGCTGTAAATACAAACATTTTACTGCATTCACGTTTACGTCTATTGATGTACGGGAGTTTGTATGGAAATTTGAGTTTCTGAAACCATCCGCTAGAGGCGTAGCAAAGTTTTCAAAGTCACTTCACAGAGTGGTGACAATTGGGAGAAAAGGATTGTTAATAATGAGAATCTGACAACCCCATTACTGGCAATATAACCTATCAGTTCGACCTCCACACAGTTCCCCCTGGAAACCATTTTTTTTATACAACTTAGAATGGCAAAGAAGCTGACGGCCCACCTGATGGAAAGTGGTAACCGTCGCCTATAGACATGAGCAGTACCCTGGACATAACAGAGTATACTCTTTCGCCCATGATACCCCCCATGCGTAGCCATTCCTGAGGACTCAGATGTTATTCCTTTTTACCCAGTAAATTCACGCCATATCCCACCCTTCAAACCGAAACACAGCCATGCAAACTCAACTGCTTCACGGTTGAAACACGAATGGGACAGAGGTACCCAAGTAATCGACTTTTGTACAAAGTCTCATCTACTACCATGATTTATTAAACTACCATCACCTATTATATATACAATTTTATATTAATATACCCACAACACGGTGGTTAATTAAAAACTTTGTCCAATAAAAAAAAACTGACTTCAATTATCTGAAATCCAATCATTTCGATCTTAAAAGTAACCTACTGAAACGATTTCGATAAAATTTCTATAGAATCGACCTGTTATATATCCTTTTAGATAAAAAATATTTTTTCAAAACGGTTTAGAATTGACGAAGTTATGAGGTAACAAACATAAGATAAAAAAAAAGAATTGAAAACCTTCTTTTTGAAGTCGGTTAAAAATCCATTGACATCAACAATTTATTTTAAACGCATTATACCTAATAGGAATAGGTACATCAACATCATAATGTTGATATCAGATAGAAGACACTGTAGGAATTTGTTTATGTGTGTGTACAAGACATACTCGTGTGCGTGCTACCTGCGCCGGCGCAGGTGTAGATGTGCGTTAAGTCAACTCGGCTACACACTATTTGTGATTTTTAATAAACTTAAATTTAATAAAAAAAAAACCGTCATCATCATTATCATCGTTTTCCCGTAATTTGGGCATATTTATTTATTCATTAATACATATATGTGTACATGGCGGACTTAATACTAAAAGCATTCTCTCCCAGTCAACCATAGGGTAGTGTCAGAATACTCGAATGCGGTACTAGTAATTATTAATATACATACATACTAAAATTACATATATAAACGAATAAATATACATAAATAACAAATATACTTACACATATATGATATATACTATATTATACACGAAATTGAGAATAATATAAAGTACTTACTGCTCGGATAAAGTAAAAGAGTGAGTAAAAAAGGCATACTCAGTATATTTTTAATTTCCATTCTATTTTTAACTTAATCATCTCGTTTATCACACCATAAAAATTCGTATCATCATTTCAGCCGTTTTTAATTAAATTAAATGTATACATACGTGTCCTCATTGAAGGGTCCAGTAGTTGTCACGCTTGGCAAACGGGTTAGCAACCTTAGTTAGGCTTTGGTGATGTTTTAAGAGGAACAATGCCTTTTCCTCAACCATTTAATTCTCTTAGTCACCTCTTACAATACCCATGGGAAAGGAAAGAGTTGGCCATTCTATCTCGGGATCACATGGCAAAAATTCGTATATCCTTTGTTAATTTCATAACTCCTTTCACTGCATAGAATAAAAGGTAAAGTTAATTATTTTCATTATCTATGTTTTAAGTTGTGAGAAAAGCTACGTCTTTTTTTACACAACTTAGTATAAATTAAATAACAACTGACCTAATGGAAAGCTAAATCCATTGCCTATACTTGACTATAATATAAAAATCCAAACAATGTTCGTACATTTTTGTTTGTTGTAATCTCCGAAGTCGTTTAGCCGTCTTTAAATAAAATTTTGAAAATATACTCAGCCGTTTTTAATGAAGTTTTGTAAATATATTGCTTGCTAGATCTTGACAGGTAGAATAGTTTTTATCCTAGTAAGTTAAAATAGATCCGGTAGATGGCAGTAGGGGGCAAACTAATGTTCTCTGGATCTGCTTGTAGTATTATATTTTCTGTGGTAAAACTATTCACAAAAAAAGTTATCTCTCTTTTCATAATAAACAAGTAGCCGTGCCAACATGACGCATATTTACTCGCTATCCAAACACGTTTTCTACACACGTTCTCTGTCCCACAATCACAGCGTCTCCACAAACGAAGCGGTCGCCACGACCACTCCATCACTGAGGCCACACTCCACCGCGCTGGCAAACGCGGCGATCGTATTGCCTCTCGCGTTCCAATTTCAAAACTGCAAAACGAATACCGTATTCGAGTTTCGAATACAAATGTAACGCGTTCTGTGTTCTGTTTTTGAAAAATCGTAAAGTGCCATAAAATAGTGATGTCCATACTGGTGTAACGAAATGGGTGTTTTATATTGTCTAATATTTGTGACCGTTTTGGTTCCTAGTGTTTACGGCCAAAATGCGGCCGATTGTTATGGTGCTGGGAGTGTGGCTGGGGCGGCCATAGGTGGGTTTTTGGGTGCTCTGTTACTGCTCGCTGTGGTGTATTACTTGAGGAAACTGTACTGGAAATCCCGCAAAGGTAAGCGAGTGATTTTTTTTTCCACGAGCCGGTCAAATTGATTTGTGGTTTATTCCATTTATGTAGGTAGTTATTAAATTCCTAGTAATATATCCGTTGATGTATAAACATGAAATTACTTGAAAGTGCATGTATTAAAATAATTACATCCAATTTTAAAAATATGCTAATTACATAATTGTAACAAATTGCTACTTGTTGTGAAGCGAAGTGCTTATCTACCATACTATTTGTCCATAAAGAGAAGAGAGTATGTAAGTTTTGATTTCTCTTCTTACGATCTCTCTAGTCTAGTCTTTAAAATGTCTATATGTCTAAATACATATTTTGACGCAGTTTTACATCGATCTTCAATCTACAATTATAGTGTGCCCCAACATCTTTATCCTTAAACTCACACATCCAGCAAAGCCTTTTAAGCCAACATTAGACATTAATTTTAAAATGAGAATTAGATAAAAAATAAACAAAATGAATGATAAAAAAAAAATAGTTCGGTATATACCAAAATGTGTATTTTATTACACGCACATATCTGTTTTTAGGTACTGTGTAAAATTATATGCTTGTACAAGTAGATTAAACAAATTATACTACGTGTTGGCAGTCGGTTTTTTTTTTGTTAAAAATAATAATGTCTCCTTTAATCGTAACAAAATTTATTTTATTTCATTTATTTAAGGAACACCAACAGCATACTGCATTATAACATATTGGTATAACAAACATTAAATATAATACAATATTAATGCACATGCCTATTATAGGTATTCACAACATTATTATGGTATCAATATGGTATTATTACCGTAAACCCAAATTAAAAAAAAAAAAAAACTTTTAAAATCAGTTTACAATTGTTAGGGAAATCCGTGGACATACCTTAAAAAAAGTATACAATCAAACATAGAACCTCTTCCATTTTTGAAGTCGTTAAGAAGAATAGAACAGAGTCGTTAAGAAAACATAGAACCTCTTCCATTTTTGAAGTTGAAGAAGTTAATTAAAAGTAAATGGCAAAAAATCTTCAAAATCTAAATGTATGAACTGAATTGATAAAATATCGCGTAAAATAAACAAGCAAACACACGATTCAAAATATTGAAACCTCCTCTTATGTTAAGTCGGTTAAAAATAACACGCAGATAGCTTACAGCCATAGATAAGGAAACAATACTACTTCCCTAGTTCTATTTTTTTTATGACTGGCCATTCAGTAGGTCGGCGGCAGGTACAATTCCATTGTCCATGCCCAAATTTCAAATCCTATGCATCTGTTTTGATCTTTTAGATAACAATAACTTTGACCGGTTTTTCCCACGTGAAACAATGTAAACATATGGCTTCGGGGAATTTTGTTACAGCAGACTGTTATATATACTCAAAGTATAGTATATAAAGTATGCAACTTAGAATGGCAAACAAGCTGACGGCCTACCTGATGAAAAGTGGTAACCAGTGAGATGATTGGTGAGGATGAAAAGGCAGGTCAGTTAGCCCATCGTGGCGAATTCAACGATAAATTAGTCACGACGGTTTCCAGGGGGAACCGCGTGGAGGTCGACCTGATAATGTATATTGATAGCGATGGGGACTATCCTCCCCATTAATAACAATTTCTTCCCCCCAAAAATTGTAAACAGTTAAACCGGAGACACAAAACTCTTATGTTTCAAAATTAAGATGTAACCCATTCTTATAGCAAGTTTCATTCAAATCCGTTTAGTAGTTTTGCGTGAAAGACTAACAAAACTCCATCCATCCTCAAAAACTTATGTGTTTAGAATAGTGATATTTTTTTTATACAACTTAGAATCGCAAACAAGCTGACGTCCCACCTGATGGAAAGTGGCAAACGTCGCCCATAGACATGAGGAGTACCATGGACATAACAGAGTATACTGTTTCGCCCATGATACCCCCCATGCGTCGCCATTTCTGAGGACTCAGGTGTTATTCCTCTGTACCCAGTAAATTTACGCCATATCCCACCCTTTAAACCGAAACACAGATAGTTTTTTTTTTTTTTATATTATTTGGTTCGCGATTAGGAAATGAGTATTAAGCTTAAGCGTCTTAACTGACCAATAGTGATTGGTTTGGTATTTTCAAACCACTTCAAATAAAAAATTAATTTTCAAAATAGGTCTACAATAAACGGAGAAATTAGTGGACGTACATAAAAAAATATATAGTGGAACTCAGACTTCCTCCTTTTGTGAAGACTGAAAAAGGAGTATTCGGTTGCATTTTTTTTTTATATTTATTTCTTCATAACTCCAACATTCTGAAAGAATATACTTTCAGACTGGCACCATATGAATTTTTATCAAAATATGTTTCATAGTTAAAAAAAAAATAACCTTAATAATATATTTAATTGAATAATTCTTTTTATTCTAAATCCTTTACTGTTCAGGCAGTTCGCCTATGGAACTCACTACCTACCTCTATTCGGTGCGCTCAAACTCTTACTAGTTTCAAAACCTGTGTTAAATCTTACTACCTCTCACTTTAGTACTATTTTCCTACGTTCTCTCTTCTTTTTCCGTCGTTATTTTTTTTCTGTTGTATGTGTGCTGTTAAGTATGTGTATGTTATGTATATATTTAATTGTGTATATATTATATATGTATGTGTATGTATGTATGTATGTATATATGTTTGTATATGATAATATTTATATAATAGTGCGCCACCTACCCTTTGTCTTTTTCTCAATGTCCTCTACCCAAAGGTTGTCTGGAAGAGATTGCTTAGCGATAAGGCCGCCTTTTGTATCACTTCTCATTAATATTTACTGTATTTGTTGTTTCTCTTTTTACTTGGTGCAATACTTGTGCATAAAGTGTAAATAAATAAATAAAATAAATAACTGATATTGCCAACTTTTGTAATACACAAATAAAAATTGATTACAGCAAAACAACGTTATAAACTAGAATAATCGAATCAGTTATGTCATGTTTCCTCTAAGTATTCCACGCACGAAACCCCTTGCGACATACAACATTGAGAGGTATTCTGCGTTAGGACTAGATTTTCTGTAATACCTAAACCGTTATATCTTTACTTCGAAGGTAGCGCTATCTCTACAATTCACGTTCGTATGAAAGAGATGCAACTAGTACGTGTTCTGATTACTACGTTTGTAAGATAGGTACTTAAAATGCCCACCAACGTAATGACTTAACACAGATAACATAGATTGTAATAGTGTAATTTAAAGATAAAAGATTAAAAAAATAACAAATAATCTATGTACGAGATCTTGTAACAGAGGATTTTTTTTGATGGGTGAAAATGGTATGGTAAACCCGCCTGTGCTAACGGGATACGCTGGCAGAGCACCAGTGAGGGGTGATAGATGAGAATGAAAACAGGCCAGTTAGCCCATCATGATGAATTCATCAGGAATTAACCATGATAGTTTCCAGGGAGAACCGCGAGGAGGTCGACTTGGTTGGGTATATTGCTAGCAATGGGATTCTCAGTCTCCATTACTAATAATCCCTTTCCCCCCAACTTAGAGGATTAGATGATTTAAAGAATACATGATTCAGTCTATCTGTTATATACTAGCTTTTACCCGCGACTTTGATTAGAATAAATTGTAGCTTAAGTCCTTCTTTACCCCATATAACATGTGTATACTAAATTTCATAGTAATTGGTTAAGCTATTAAGGCGATGTGAAGTGACAGTCAAACTCACTTTCAAGTTTTTAATATTTAGTAAGTATATTAACATATCTTCACGTTAAGTCATCATATCATACCAGTTGTTACCTGTCCACTGCTGAACATAAGCCTTCCCCATAAGGGGAGTTTTGTCAGTGGTTGCCACGCTTGGTAGTCGAAATGGCAACCACATTTAGGCTGTTGATGTTTTAAAAGGGACGCTGCTGTTCATCCCTCGACCTTAACTGTTTCCTTAGTCGCCTCTTACGACACCCATGAGAAAGGGAGGGGTGGTCCATTCTATGCCGGGACCACACCGCATAATGGGCATACTGGGGGAAGGGATTGTTAATAATGAGAATCTAACTACTCCATTGTTAGCAATATACCCTATCAGGTTGACCTCCACACGGTTCCCCCAAGAAACTATCTTGACTGGTTTTTTGTGAAACTCATCGTTAAGGGGTAACTGGCCTGCTTTCATCCTCCCTTATCATCCCTCACTGGTGCCCCGCCAGTGTATACGAATAGCGCAGGCACGGTTACCATTCCATTATCACCTATTAAAAAAAATAGACATACTTATATGTATTCGTGTTATTTCCCATTCGTGTTTCTACCGTAAAGCAGTTGTGTTTGCATGGCTTTGTTTCTTTGGTTGGATGTGGCAGTGAATTTATAGGGTACAGAAGAATAACACCCGAGTCCTCAGGAATGGCAACGCATGGAGGGTATCATAGGCGTAACAGTACACGGTCATGTCCATTGTACTGCTCATATCTATAGTCGACGGTTACCACTTTCCATCAGGTGGGCCGTCAGCTTGTTTGCCATTCTAAGTTGCATATGTTACCATAATCATTATTAGTATTGACAGGTAATTTGCTAGGCTTTTTATTAACGTCTATAAGCATCTGATGTAAGCGATTAATGTAGTATAATTCAGTTGCAATGCACCAAAGTCATCACGTAATATGTATGCATTGGCAACCCTGACTACTTCCTGCTATAAACGATCCGGCATATTATTCACTCGTTGCTGTCTTTTATAAGGAGGTTTCCGTCATTTGTCCACTAGGGCTGCGAAGTTCCCAAGTCATAGAAAAAATATTTTATTTTTTTCTTACTAATATTATAAATGTGAAAATGAATTTATTTGTTTATTTGTTACCTCTTAGCGCCTTAACGGCTTAATTATAACTATAAAATGTAGTATACAAATGCTATGTGAGGTGGAGATTAGTCTACTTTTTATCCCGGTCAATGAACATATCCCGGCCACGCGGACGAAGTCGCGGGTAAAAGCTAGTATTATACTTAT